TACCGCAAAATACGCTAGACAAGCCATCATACTAAATCAGTACTAGGTTGTCCAGGGTCTTCAAAAGATACATTTAATCATAATAAAATGAAAATAATCGATGCATCAACATCCCATACGTTTTTAAAAATGATACTTGTATCAAAATAATCGTTGAAAGAGCAGCAATTTAATAGTTCAACTTTTAAATGCTAAAAGTGGTGAAATCTTTTGAATTTGCTATTGTACGTATATGAGTCTATGATAAGTAAAGTAGCAACATAGGCCACATTTTAGCGCACGACTTGTGACAGGGGTTTTACTTACCCATAATACCATAGTAACATTACGATTATGGATGCGGGATGCGGGATTGGACGAATTGATGGATTCATTTCCTTGGTGCTAATTTATAGATCAAAGCATACATACGGGACCTGCATTTTAGTTTCAATATAATACTTGCCTAGTACTCGCTAGCTGTTGAGTAGATAGGTATAGAGCCCACCTCCTCCACCAGCGGCTAGCAACGATAACTACCCCAAGCACTTTAAGCCCTACATAAGGTATATACTAATATAGTGTCTTTATGTACGGACGGAAGCTAAGTAGTGTAAATACTTGTACTGTATCCACCTAGCGGCGCACATTACGCCACCACAGAATGCAAGGACTATATTTAACACAACTCGATCTGTGAAGCTGTGGTACATCGACTAGAAAATGCGCACGGCCTACTACGAGAATGAAATCGGCGCAGTGCTCCCGCGAGTACGAGCCCCGAGGCCGGGTTGCCGCCGCAACCGGCACAGCTTAGAATCGGGGTAGGATTGTATGACTTCCGGGATCGAGCGCGAGGAATTTGCAGAGGTATATGACTAGTCTCTTAATAGTGACTTCAAGCAGAGGAATATTCATTGCGCAAGTGTATTTTATTACATCTTATTCACACATATCAGGGCACGTACCCTTCAACTACAACATTCACTAACACTTACAGCACCGAGTCTCAAACTTCGCAAACATTACAATTTTTATTCCTATATAACCGTACTATGTATATTATGCGAAAATAAAGGCTCGGTCCTTGCCCGCCCCCGTGTATTGATAGGGCGCCAACCAAGGAACCATGCCTCTCTAATATGCTAGGGATATCTCAAATGCCAAAAGGAAAACCAGCCAGTTGTTTTAGGTGTCCGACCAAACCTAGCGCCCGCCCGGACACCGTAGAGTCTATGTAAAAAGAGAATAATCTTTTAAGGGAGAGTGTGTTATGTTTAAAGAGGAAAAGAACATCATACGTTAACTGTATAGCCTCCTTTTCTCGCCTCTTCTGGAAACGTAATAATTGTTGATGTGTTTCTTTTTTTTTTAATGATCTTCGACATCCTCGTCCCGTCCAGGGTACATAATGTCCTGAACAATTACTGCCCTCACATGACTATAGAGGACGAAGAGATACGTGGCCAATAAACAGATGGACATCGCCGTCGTCACCCATTTCACCGTCTCGTTCCCGAACTCGTTTGAGATTGAAATAGTCGCCAAGATGAAACCGGTGTTAGGGAAGACCATTGCCCACCATCCCAAGTGGAAATATTTAGGGGGCGAGCTGACTACAGCAATGAATGCGATACCGAACCACCAGAGAGACAACGACCACAGGAAGATGGCCCCGATCATAGCAAAAGTCCTAATCAAGTGTACGTCGATGAACCCGTCCATCTCCCTATCGAAAGTATCGGGAAGACCATTCGCCATACCGATAAACGCAAGGGCAGTGAAAGCCGGGGGCCCCACGTTCATGAATAGACCAGGTCGGTGCTCGCGGTTAGGAAGACCTATTTCTTTGATTAGCTTCATCATATTATCTTTGGGTACACTTTTTGTTATTTGTTATATATCATTGTTATATATCAAGTACGTACCGGCTGACATCAGACGTCCAATCATATGAGCGTACATCATAATTGCAACGAAGAGTCCCAGACCTTGACAGCTCATACCAGCGATCACAATGGGTATAGCTGAGATTTCGGGTTGAGTATCTGAAATGACCGAGGCGATAGTTCCCGACAACATGATAGGGAAGATCGGGAGTATCCATGTCGGCATCATCGTCTGTAAGCCAAAGTTGTGAGCCGCAAACACGAAGCTGTATTGTCCGATAGCCACTATTAGGGTGATAACGACGTAGCCCCAGAAAGCGAGCTGAATGGCCCACACGAGCGGCGTGTCGTTATCCGGAATGGCATATCGCTGCGTGCTGGTAATGATAGTGGCGATGGATAAGAAGTACGTCGGGAAGAAGAAGCCTTCGCGAGGATGCGACAGAGATTTGTAAAAGTCACCATGATGAAGGAAGAACCGCGATAGCATGGCAAAGGTTAACGTTGTAAACAGGATAAGATTGACGATATACACGAATAAACCGATCTGTCTAAGCCCAGGAAATTGATGGGTCTGGGCAAAGATAAGAAGTGATAATCCACCAGTGCTCATGGGTAGGGTAAACCAGGCCCATGTGAAGTGGTGCATTCGCTGGCGGATTCCAAGCTTCGGTCGGTTTGGGTCGTAGATATCTACGTGGTCTTGTCCGTGCTCGCGGCTGCCATGCTCCAAGTCGCCGGTGTGGTTCTCCTTACCCTCGAGTATCGAGTTGGCAGCAGAGCTAGCTTGCGTTTGCGTCCCCGGTAATTGTTCATTATGTTTCTTCTCGTCTAATACGGGAAACTGTACTGCCGTTGGGTCCGAGGTGCGAAAGGATAAAGATGGTGTCGATGATGTCGGATAGGAGAGAGTCTCCTGAGAAAGGAGAGCGTGTGTCGGTGACCGCTCCATTGTGATGAAAACAAATCTTAATAACCAACAAATAGTTCCGTGTCGTAGAGGCAACGGCGAAGAAGAGAAAAGGAGAAGAAAGGAGAACTGTACAGATAAACAAGAACCAGATGAACCAGACCAGAGAGGAAAAAGGGAAAGTTCCAAGGAAAATATAGGAGAATAAAAAAGAACTATAAGTAGAGAATAAGAGTACCGGCCTCGTCAGAAGAAATGAAATGCGAAATGTCACCCAAATGGAGAAGCTCTTGGTATGAACTGGAGTGACTGGGCAATTACGAAGCCTTTATGAGTAATGGGTACTACAGCCACCCTTGTTGGTTCGAGCCAAGAAAGCAGAAGACATCTGGAAGTAGGAAACAGCTAGGAAACAACTAATGATAGAAGATGATGGGCTTTCCCGGGATCCGAATGACACGGCAGGGTCGCGATAAGGTCGATCGTCGAATGAAGGTCGGCCGTCTACGACCGAGCTTCCATTGCGATCTTCAACGCTGCCCGACGAGACACAGGTCTGTAGGATCCACAGACACTTTTAACCGTACATAGTGTACACCTCCGACGTATAGAGTTATACAAGTTTCTTGGTATTATACATACAAAGTCTTGGTATTTGAGATTCAATCTAACCCAACCAAATAACCAAGTATCTGTTTCCGAAACTTTGCACACCCTGCAGAACCATCAGACGAAGGTGCGAGGAACCACTGACTTGCACACTTACACATGGACACTTACACATGGTCACTTACACTATGTCAGTATGTATTGTACACTAAGACGTGTTTAAACCTTTCCTCCACAAAACTCCACAGAGCGCTACAGGAAACGACGATGACTTCAAAAATAGAAGCTATGCCCTGTCATGCCCAGCTTGGCTTCATCTTTCTGCAACGAGTAAGGAGTCGGGCGTTAAAGGAGAAACAGAAAAAAAAAAAATTCATTGCGATATCTCGTTTGGTTATTAGTAAAGACAAGGCGGCGACTTGGCGCAAGGGAGATCGCCATGGAGCCTCATGGCACCAAGCCACGACTCTATTGGGCCGTAACAACGTCATCCCTGTCCATGTTTCTCTTACTGGGCAACGTCAAACGTGAAAATGATTGAGGCCGGTGGGCCGCCATCCAAGCCAAATTAACATAGATCTAGCGGCCAATGCCCTGGTCCGCTTGGGCATGAGCCTCACACGGAAGATAGATATCGACGCTTGGCGGTGCTCTTGGCTTGTCGGCGCAGTGGGGGTACGTATCGTATTCAGGTATTGTACAAAACAGGACGTGGAAAGGGGAGGGGGCTTGAAAGGGTAACAGGTTTTGCATATGTACAGAAGCAGAAGCAACCCGAAAAGACCCGTGGCAGCCAAGACGACATCGCATAGAAAAAATAAATAAAAAATTGGTTCATCGGATGGATTCGGCCAAATGGCCAAATTTTGCAATGCCCAATCTGACAGGTGTCCCGGTCTATGGTCTGTCATATTCTGTTCTGTTCTATTTGGTCTGCTTCACCTCTTCTTTTGTACGATGTGGCAAACGTTCTACTGCTCAATCTAGAATCAGCCCAGCTAAGCCGTTGTGGCAGAAAAGTGGCAGTAGGCAGAGTGGCAGAGTAAAAAAGATGTACAATACAGATATGGGAATGATATACACACATACTGGTCCATACTGGTCACCATCTGGCACTAGCACAAGCAGCACAGCAGCAGGACGCGCAACCAATAAGCGGATGAATTAAGCCAAGACCTCTTCTTATATTTATTTTTTTATTTTTTTGGGTCCCTTCCCCTGTACGTAAAATACGTACCGTCGATAGTAACGTTATCGGGTCTTACACTATTGAAGAAACGCCTCGCTCGGCACTTGCCAGGCCCATGCTCATGCCCATGTCTTACATGCTAGCAGGGTATGTATGTACATGGAAGGAAGAGAGAAAAAGAGAAAAAAAAAAGATTAAGAGGCATTAGCCATGTGGATCAGGCATGTACGCCCAGATATCAAAGCCGCCGCCGTTGTCATCACCAGGGGGGTGGCCCCTGTACCCCTGCGATGCGATACGCTACCTTTTTCCAATTCGAACAGGGGAGCCGTCACATGCGAAACAGACGATATGGATCTCGGAGTGCTTCTTGATACACGCACCAGATATTTTTATCTTCTCGAGCTTCATGCTTAATCTACTTACTGCTGCTGATCTACAATGGTATGTCTGATGTTAGTATTGACTACCTCCTACCTACACTGTATTGTATTAACTAACTAACTATGCTGTGTGTATGTACATTAGGTAGGTAGTTAGTATGTGTGGTACTACACATTGTACAATACATAGTGACTATGTAACGGATGGTCTGGAGCTTTGTGTTTCCCCAGGGGGCACATGTTTAACCACGATACCGAAGAAGAAAACCCGGGCCTTCTTTTTCCTTGTGCTACGGGGTAGGGTAGGTACCTAGATAACGAATGGTTAATTTGACATCTGCTGCTCTGTGTAGGACGCCCAGTCGACGATGCTCCATACCCTCGCGATCCTGCCCTTCTCGAAGCGGTAGGTGACGTGCTCGTGGGTGCTGACGGCGCCGCCGTTGGGCTTCACGCCAGCCAGCGTGTCGGTGGGCGTCCCGTTTATAGCTATCCGCGCCGCTACTCGCTGCGCTCGCTCGTCTACGACGATGGTGGAGATGCTGAGGTCGAGGTCAGGGATGGCTTCGAAGAGCGATTGTACCATGTGTCGGTAGCCCTCTTCCGTCAGGGTCTCGGCGTTAAAGACCGTCTGCGGGTGAAGAAATTTGTGCAGGTCCGTCTCCATTCTTTTCTCGTTGACACAATCACAATATGCCCTATACGTGCTCTCTAGCTCGAGCGCGGATAGTCCCCCGTCGAGAGAGCCTCTTGGCGGATTCTCTTCTTCGGTGATAGGGTCTGGCGTGTACCTTGCATCGGGGTTTGAAAGTTGGCGCTGCATCTCGAGATAATCTGCCACTGTGAATGTCTTGGAAAGCTTGCCGTCTGTAAACCAGTTGATCGATTGCTCCGCGAACGAGATGGTTTTGCCGGGTATAGCGGCATCACCAGCATCTACGCTCGCAGGCTTGAACCTCACGAAGACTGCTGCTCCCATGCACTGTTGAGACTTGTCAACCGTCACAGCATCGATGGTAAGCTCGACATCGCCAGTCTTCCTCATTTCGGCGATATAGTCCTCGGCCGTGAAGTCTTGGCCATCCTTGACGAAGTGTGAGTGCATGTATCTTGGCAGTTCCTCCCATCTTCGTTCGTTGATGCACCTCACGATGGATCTGTAGGCTATTTCGATATCGGCCATCCACCCTGGGATCCTGGGATTCAGTTCCTTGATTTGACTTTACTTCGTTCTTGTCTTGTTTAGGCGTTTACGCTGTCTATAGTGTCATTCGATAATGGAACCCTTCTTACGTTCTTAGGTACGTACGAGTTGAAAAAAGTGTTGTGCGCGGAGCGAATGAGGGCTCCGCAGAGAAACCACGGATAGGATAAAACGTTGAAGAGGCACGCACCGCGGCACCGATCGGCTGCGGCACCGGATCAAATGTGCATTTGATTTCTTGGCCTCAAATCCTATCCAATTGCAACTCTGTGTTAAGTCTGTGTTTTGTACATCATGTTGTCCTTTTCCAGGCACTGCCTAGCTATAGAGCCAATAAACCAATAATGATACTATCTTCAATCTCAAGATGGCTCATAATCATCGAGTTCACGATGCTTGGCAAGCGTTAGGCTCTTTGACAAGAGATTGACATTTGCTTAACAGCTTAGCCACTTGCTTAGTGTAGCGTGATCCTTGCAACCAGGTCCGACACCCAGACACCGTACCAAGACTACGGAGAGGTTCCGATCTTAAAACTCGAAACGTACGTATTAATTACACCATACCGCTATAGGCAAGGATTGGGAGGGTAAGGCATGGTAAGGATGGGTTGGGCTCCAATAAGCAAATCGTCGGGTAACTATAAATGGCTATACCAAACAGATGCTCAGCTATAAGATAGAGATAAGTAACCTGGTACGCCAAGAAACACTACTACCGTTGAGAAACATCTCTTGGACAACCCGGCGCAAAAATAGATGGCGGATATGTCCGTGGACACGGCGGAACTCCCGGTCTTGGTCTTGGCCTTGGTCTTGGTCTTTGCCCCCTTTTTGCTCCATTTATGCCCTGTGTAATGTCTCAACGTTATGCGATTCGACTTGATAGAAAGCCTTCGCTTAATAATTGTGTAATTCGCCAGGCTGATGATGGTGAGTTGTTCCTTGGCCCGGCAGCTGTATATTAAATACACTAGTTTCGCGTGGAGGCGGTAACAATATAATGCGAGCGAATAAAGAAGCCTAATTGGGTTTCAAAAGGTGTGAATGGGTGGTGGTGGGTGGCGAGTTAATGTTCAAAAGTCTTGCAGTAAGTCTGGGGGTCACTTCGATGCAGACCTACCTTTACAACTCTGATACACATCTGCCATGTGGAAGTGGTTTTGTATGTGCATATTCCGTACTGTTCTCACTGCCGTGCCTGCATTGACTTTGATTTTATCTTGGACGTACTCTGCGGAAGATGTAAAGTACTAACTTAGCCTTCGGATAGGGGAGATCTACATGTTAATCTATTAACTACTAACCTACCTACCTGTTAATTCTAATGGTAGCAATCTATTAATCCTCATGATAACAAAATAACAATTACATTGGGGGCTAACTAATTAACAAGGGAACTCGAGTATATTCGGTTGGAATGGATATCATCTACATAACAGTATTGCTATATATGAATAAGATGTATGAACAAGTTGATCCCCATACCAGCCCCCAACGGAATACGTGTATGTATTTTTTATCTCTCAGATTTCTATCCAACACTTCGTCCAAGACACACAGGCCCACACGTAGATCGTAGAGACGGGCGCCTTCTCCTTCGGTAATTGTAGCGTCGCATCTGGGCAACCTCTTCGCTTGATGAATACGGAATCCCACTGCAACCCTGAGATTTTATCTACTACTGAAGCATTACTTTGAAACACGCTTATTCACCCGCGTATATACATCACTTACACCATTATTACCAGATCTTCATACCCAATGTCTAGGTAGCCATCGTGGTGATATTTCGCGATAAACTCGCTTATTCACACCATGGCTCGGAGAGGGAGTATTCTCGGAGCGGCAGATTAGCCGCAGATAAACATGCGTATCTTGGCTGAGCATATGACGCCGCCTTCATGCGTCCCATTCTCCTTTCGTCGGTAGTGTAGATGTCTGGCTGGCTTCGTAAACTTCATCCAGTCGGTCAACCAGTCAGTTAATAGTCTATCATATGACGGTGCGCCATAAGCACAGGTTGTCGTACGTGTGAAATCCAATAAACGTTATTCTAAATACCGGTAAAAAAAATCACCTCATCGAACAGGATTGCTGACATAAATTACCAGACCGCTCCTCACCGCGAGCTGAATAACTAACTACCTACCTAACCCAGCGTGCATACGCGTACGACCCGAGCCCGTCTAACACGGGCCGAACGGCACGGCAAAGATCACGTCCACGCTGACCAACCGGCACCACCGCCCCACTGAGTAATTCCTGTTGATATATGCACCCGAGGGGGCTTCATCATCCATATTCATGAGTCAGTCCACTTCAAGATATTATAGAGATGTTGGAGATTGTTGTCTTAGAATCTAATACATTTGATACTTGGCTTTGCTCATGATCATCGGCTAAAAAGACTAGTGCGACCCGACGGGATGTCGTGCATGTATATGCGGACGGTATTCCTCTTACGATCATGCGGAGGCTGGGCAAGGCTTGGGCTACAACTTTTTGTCGAATCGCCTCAGCTGGGGGGGCTAATACCCGACGAAGAGAGCACTATCTATGCTTGGCTTCGGATGGCAGTTCTAATGGTCTACGGGCTTCAAGTCGTATCATGATTCATGACAATACTTTTACACAACGCATTTTGTTCGAGTTGCACGAAGGCGTTAGGGAACCATCGAGACCATCGAGATGCGAATATCGGAGTCACCGACGAGCTGAGCTCTACTGCAGTGCCCGGGATTTTCCGACAAAGAGATGCTCTTACGATGGATCGTCTCTGGCGATCTCTGCGAAAAGCCTCACGGGGTAGACTAGTTGCGACTTGCAGTATTGATCAGTCATATTGATCAGTTGACGGAGCAGATTAGCCGGAGCGACTCCAATAATTGATACGAATGGCAGATTACAGTATGTAAGTAGGTATTATCAAATTATTAACACAGAAGAGAACACAGAAGAGGGGGTATCAATGCCAAAGTCGTCTCCTTTCTCCTTTTGACTCCTAATCAGTTTCCGCCGGCCTCACGCTCTGCGGGTTGTGGAACAAATCATTCGGATCCCACTTCGATTTAATTTCTCCCAAAGTATCCAAGTTCGGGCCCCAATACGATGCCTGAGCGTCTGTCAATGACGGGTCGACGTATCCGGGGTAGGTGGTCAAAGCCTGCGCGGAACCGCTCTTGATCGTGGTCATCATGCCGCTCATGAAGTCCTTCGTATCCTGGTTCAAGGTAGGAACGCCGATTCCGTATCCCTGAGCGAACATGATCTTGTCTCGGTGCGAATAAGCGGTCGCGTTCATGGGAATATCGCTGATCGCACCGCCAGTCGCGTCGAAGATCAAAAACCAAATAAGTGTGCCTCGTTTCGCGTCGTCGATGTAGTTCATAAGATTAGAGATCGTATCCGGGGACAGCGTCTCGTCGGCACGGAAAGCTAAACTCTTTGCAGAAAATGCGACGCGGAGTTCCGACAGCCAGAGAGCAGCGTCTTCTGCCTGCTGAGTGATGACGGCTAGCCAGTCGTCGACAACTACGGATACGTTTCCAACGGGAATCTTGTCGGGAATTCCAGTAGCTTTCCACTCCTCCTCGGTTCCGTAGAATGTGGCAGTGATGATAGCACCAAGCTCATGCATGACAAATTCGGTACCAAATCGTCGGTCCAAGTTGGGATCTGAGATAAGATCCTGCCATTGTTGAAATACAGGTATCAAGTTGGCGTGCTTATCGAGGGATAGTGAGAATGAGTACTGCACAACGTTACCAGGTTCAGGGTGCGTCTTGACGACGAACTCGGTGATGACGCCGAAACCCGCACCTGCACCCTTTAATGCCTATTGTTGATGTAAGTGAGTGACACCCAAGTTGGATCATGATATATGTTAAGTACTCACGAAGAAAAGATCGCTATTCTCCTTCTCGTTAGCCCGTTTGATAGAGCCATCTGCGGTAACTACTTCTACCTCGATAACGTGGTCGAGACATGATCCCCACATGCGAGACGAAGGACCAAGTCCACCCTTGTGGCAACGCTAGTATTAGCAGAGCTCCCTTATAAGCGGAAACGACAGTGCTTACAATGGTGGCATGGCCGCCAATACCGACTCCGGGACACGTTCCGTGAGCAATGGCTCGCTTGCCGTTCTCGTGAAGCCTATCGGTCACATCAGAGAGCCTAGTGCCTCCGCCGATGGAAGCCTGCCACGTGTTGTTATCCATAGAAAAATCCTGAAGATGTACGAGATCGATGACGAGTTCTCCATCTTGTCCTCCGACACCTGTTTCTTGCGTATTAGCTCTCACTCTTCACGGCGCGAGGTGTTCTCTAGTGTTTGCGCATACCGAAATTTCTATGTAAGTGTTAGTAGGTAATACCCGGTACGGCAAATATGCGATAACTCGGAGCGCAGCTTACGCATAAGAATGACCGCCTGACTTGGGCTGGACCTTGACGTTATTCGCAACGGCGCATTTAATAAAATCCGATACATCCTGGGCGTTATCCGGCCTCGTTACGGCGATCGGCTCTACCGGAATATCGAGATTATATCGGTTGACCCAAGATGCTTGGTAAAGCGGATGGTCAGGAAATGCGACGCAGTCGTTGCGGCCATTGCAGACGGCGTTGAGACAGTCGGCAAGTGGAGTGCTTGGTGTTTGCCCCATTATATCCGAGATAGACTGATACAACGTAAGGTATGTTTTATTACGAGAGGTAGGGAGGTGTTCTAGGCGAAGAGGGTGAAGAGGGTTGGCAAGCCTAAAAGCTTGAGGTGTTTTGGTCTTTCGAATATGTTCAGATCCAAAAGGGAAAAAGTCTTTAAGGAATGACGTTTGTCGAAAGGAGCTTTGAGAAAGCTTGACTCCCGTGTGAGTAAGAGAGAGGGCTGTGTTTGTCGACTTGAGAGAAGTCGCACACAAGAATTCTTTTATTATTAAACTACCTTACACTTCCTTGCCTATATCTGATTGTTTCCAGGTTTATTACCATGATTACCCTGTTACTCCAGATAACTACTTGCCCAATAGGGACTCAAGGGAGCTTTAGCAAGGATCGCGCCCCTCGGCCAAGTCCATCGCGTTAATTACTTTGATCCACAGTCACCACTTTGTCTTGTCAGTGTTTGGTGATACCGCTCCGAATCATTAGTATTCCGTTGTCATATGTCTTGATGGCTTGGTCTATATGTAAGATTCCCTGGTATATTCAACGCCGCCGACGAGCCAATCCTGTCATTGGGTCGCCAGGATTGGATGAAGGACGCCAGTTAAATCAAGCTATCGACAGATATGCAGCAAAGAGCCCACCTAACATTCAGCTCTAATGAATATAAGCCGCCATATGCTTAAGCCACAGAGAAGAATAGGCTTTATCTTTCGCAGTCCGAGGCGCCTCGAGACGCGACTAAGATTTCCGGCTCGCTTTTGGCTTACGGTGTGTTCATGTGTATTAATTAGAAGTATCGTGCCATATCTTTCGGTGTTTTCTGCATTAACCACAAGTGCCGTAAAATTTGAAGACCGGCGCCAATTTAGCCAATTACAGCTACCAAAAGTCCCCGATGTATCCTGGGGACGGATCGCCCGTCTCTGATTCGTCAGGTTGAAGGATGACCTCATTGGGGGGTAACGTTGACTCTCACAGGGGTATTAGTATTTAAATCGACGAGTACGGCAGTTAAATCCAACATCCCCGTACTATATTATATTTTTTATCTTTCCATATTACTCGTATTCGTTAAGAATATATGTCTGCCCAAAACAACGTATTTCAATTGTCCGATATATCTTCGGCACGTTACACCGGATGGGGGAAATGACAAATTTATTGTTTGTTAGGTAGCTATGACGAAAAACACCAGGTAGGTACATACAGTAAGGCGGCGCTGAGTGAAGAATTTAACTGAGTATAGGTAGTTAGTAGGTAGCTTTGCATATAAATTTATATGCGATAGTATAGAGTGTCGACGCTTTTAGAACTCCTGAATATCATGCTTTCGAATAGGTACCACTTTTTAATCCAGTGTATTTAGGTTTTTCTTTCTATTGATGTTCTATATTATCGCATATAAATTTATATGTCAAGCTACCTGCTAGCCATATCTACTTAGAGTCAAACTCCCTACCTAGCGCCGCCCTACTATCTATTATCCTAGAGACCTGTACAACCTACGCAGCTTAAATTTGCCAAGATGCGTCACGCAGAGCCGCATCTCGGGGTTCACCAAGTCTCAGATATCGCAATTGTAGTAGATTGCTTTATAAAACAACGTGACTTAGATACGTCATAAACAAATGTCACACCTCTCACTAAACCTGAGGGTCCGCGTTGTCATCAACAAAGACCCATTGTTTGATAATTACATATAGTAGTATCTCGGCACTCTATACCTTGCCGATAATAAGCGGTAGTTATGTCAAGTTAGTAGGTATGTACTACATGCGCATCGTGGGGTACTACGTACATAATTGTCATATCCACAGAAGTGACGTATAAATGTCATACTTGAGAGAAGTTGGTAGAGTAATCTTGTATAGGTAGTTATTCGGAAAGAAAGTGGTATAGAAATGACGGGGAAATATTATAATTTATATATTGTTATTTGTTAGTCTAGTTTATGAGTACCTACCTGTTACACACTATCTGCGAACACTTACATTGGACTTATACCTACTTGATTTTTATCGTCTGCCAAAAAAAAAGCCTCTATTCAGAAATAACATGGCCTCAACTGCATGCTACATATACCCGGGGAAAGGATGCACATACATAAAATATGGGGTGTTACATGTAGTACACAAACTTACCTATTAAGCCGAAGGTGAACCATCTATATCTCTATACCTAAAGTATGTAAGTGCCCGTATGTTACTAACCTAATACTTGATTCTTTACCTTATGTACCTAAAGCATAAAGTCTATTAATGTATTCTATATACGCACATTCCAGGAATCCCCAAATTTACTTCTACTTCCTTCAACATTCCCATTCTAAATTCTTAATACGACCGATCCGGAAACCACGTATTTTCACACCACAGTTGATTGAATCAACCTGAACAATTATACCAAAAAGAAGACATCGGCAAGAAAAGATCCTCTCGATGTTAATTGATTAATGGAGCCGTATCTTGTCAAATAATTGTCAACTTGGCCCTATTGTCATCTGAGACCTCACTCGACAATTTACACGTTGTACACGTCGATTGCTTCATCTTTTTTTTTGTCAGTTCTGTATCGCCGCGTCTTTCCTTTGCTAAGCGGTGGCACTTGCAACGGCTTCGGACGGACAGGTACGCCGTACTGGTCAGCATACCTAGGTATTCGGCATAGCTAGCAATAACCAGCGAATCCAGCGTCCCTCCCCCGCATCTCTAAGAAGGAATCTACCTAGGTATAAGGTATATTGGTATAATACCTAACCTAAAATCTCCAAAAATGCTCAGGCGAAGCGGTCTTCGGAAGCCAATCCCCAACTCTTCATCCCTCTCTTTAACCCCTCCCCCTCCCCCTTCCCCTCCCCCACCTTACCGTACCCCTTATTCTACTCGTCCTTCTGCTTCTCCACCCTCACTATGGTTCACGCTATCGTCCCCAGCGTCTCCAGTATCCCCGCAACGGGAATACCGGATGGATGATCTCCCACTGTCCATCCCGACTTCATGGACCGAAACCGCACCTGTCGATAGCGCATGCAATCGGTACGGAGGGGAACTATTCGGCAAAAACTTGGCTTGCCGTGGAGTAAGTGTCTTAAGTGTGCGTCAACGCCATGTTAATAAGACCTCCCACCGTAGCAAAAGTTTGTATAATGGCTTTGTTTCTACACCGAATGCTTCCAAGTTTTTAGCAGCCGGCACTAGATCATACAGTACAAAAGCTCTCACGCAACGCCTTCCTAGGTCCAGAGCAACAATCGGAAATACTCAACAAGAGTCCATCACTTTAGACATATTGAAACAGCAGCAGTCCCGCGCGTCCTCTACGTCTAAGCCCGCCATGTACACAGCATCGTTTGCCTTTTTCGAGGCGATATGGGAGGCAGGTGTCACGCACTGCTTCGTTAACCTGGGCTCGGATCATCCCAGTATTATCGAAGCTATGGTAAAGGGACAGAGGGAGGCTAAGGGTAAATTCCCACGTATTATTACATGCCCTAATGAGGTACGTTCGTAGATACCTTAGGCACTTAACCTCCTAGAGGTACTATCTGGTAACGATAGAATGGGACTGGCTTGCATCTGCGCTGCCAATCAAAATAATTAAAACTAACTCTGCGCCGATAGATGGTAGCCATGTCAATGGCCGACGGCTACGCGCGTCTAACGGGTAAGCCACAGTGCGTCATTGTCCACGTCGATGTTGGTACGCAGGGCTTAGGAGCCGCAGTCCACAACGCCAGTACTGGGCGCGCACCGGTTCTGGTCTTTGCGGGCTTGAGTCCCTTTACGCTTGAGGGAGAGATGCGCGGGTCGCGAACCGAATATATCCACTGGATTCAGAATGTTCCTAATCAAACCCAGATCATCGGTCAGTACTGTAGATATGCGGAGGAAATCAAGACGGGCAAGAATATCAAACAGATGGTCAATCGCGCCTTGCAATTCGCTACGAGCTCTCCTCAGGGCCCGGTGCATCTAGTAGGCGCGAGAGAAGTGATGGAAGAGGAAATTAACCCGTATTCGCTAGAGCAGGGTGTCTGGAACTCGGTTGAGCTGGGTGGTTTGCCGCCAGCTGCCCCTCAGCAAATTGCAGAGGCATTGCTCGGTGCTGAAAATCCACTGCTTATTACCGGATACTCGGGTCGAAATCATAAAATACCCGCTGCTCTAGTAGAGCTCGCTAACACTGTGAAAGGACTGCGTGTACTTGATACAGGTGGTAGTGATATGTGCTTCCCCGCGTCACACCCCGCTTGGATCGGCCTTCGATTCGGTATCGACCCATGGATAGAGAAAGCAGACGCTATCGTAATATTGGATTGCGACGTCCCCTGGATTCCGACGTTAAACAAACCGAAGGATGGTACAAAGGTTTTCCACATTGACGTCGACCCCCTGAAGCAGCTCATGCCGCTCTTCTATGTGCCGGCTCAGCATCGGTATCGCGCGGAGCCTCTACTCGCAGTCGAGCAGATCGTCTCCGAAGCCAAAAGTCAGGCTTCGAGTATCGATACAGCAGTTGCTACGAAGAAATGGGAGGCTCTTCAGGCATCGTACAAAGAACGCCTGGATACCATAGCATCCAATGCAAAGCCAGCCGAGGACGGTTCCTTCGGCACCGGGTATCTCACCAGAACCCTACGATCCTTGTGCCCGCAAGATACGATCTGGGCTATCGAAGCAGTAACAAATACCGGGTTCGTGCATGATAATCTCCAGCCGGAACTACCAGGTTCCTGGATCAACTGCGGTGGAGGCGGTTTGGGATGGTCTGGTGGCGGTGCATTGGGGATCAAATTGGCGACGGACGCGGAAAATGGCGGCAAAGGCAAATTTGTCGTACAAATCGTGGGCGACGGCACGTTCCTATTCTCCGTCCCCGGCAGCGTATACTGGATCGCCAAGCGCTACAATATCCCGGTATTAACCATCGTATTAAATAACAAGGGTGAGTTCCCAGTCAAACCTACAAGGCATCCAAAGAGAAATAACACGTGAGCAAAACTAATCATAATAAACAGGCTGGAACGCCCCTCGAAAGTCGATGCTCCTTGTACACCCGAACGGTCTAGGGTCAACAGCAACGAACGAGGAAATCAACATCTCGTTCGACCCCGTCCCAGATTACGCGGGTATTGCCAAGGCGGCTGCCGGAGGCGACTTGTTCGCGGCGAGGGTTGACAAGGTAGACGATCTCGAACGTACTATCAAAGACGCCATCAAAGCCGTCGAAAGCGGCCAGAGTGCTGTCTTGGACTGCAAGGTCAATCTTGGATCTTAATCTTAGACCTACCGGAATACATACATACATAGGAGCAGCTGCTTCTGCATTGAAAGCTGAGATTAACATCACGTTATGTCACATGAATTACTGAGGACGTAGGTATATACTATAGACGCGCTGATTGAGCGGGCAGGGAAATCGTGCACTGGTGCGAGTTATAGCAGAAATTGATCCATATACATAAATTTGTATTCTATATGTAGTGACACACCATCGTGGTATGATTTATCAGTGGTTCGACTATGTGAACCCATCGTAGGAAGAAACGTGTATATGAGTGGATATATATTGGGCACCTATGTACATAGGTATGTTATGGTGTATACGGGGATGGTCCCTTTTACTCGGGCTTGCGCTATAGAGAAGCTTTTGGTATTGTACCTGCATATGGGTATAGAGCGACTTTGTCTTTATACAAGTACATCTATAAGACTCTGGGTGCTCAAGGACTACATATCTAGGTAGGTAGGTACTCTTTTCCCCACGGGGAAAGGGACGTGCTCAACGGTTAGGTTGTGTTAGATATTCTATCTGTCCGACATATGAAATGTAATAGAATAAAATTTGTTACCGAATAACCTTTTAGTGGTATGGCGGTTTGTTTGTTCGACAGGTTGTCGGTAAGCAAGCGAGTTTAGGGCTAGCGCTATTGGATTCTTATATAGGTTAGGTACCTACCTAGGTAGGTATTCGTGCTGATAGGGTATTTTCGGTTGGAGCGAGTCACCTGGACTTGTAGGTATGCGAGTCTTATACCTGTGTGTTCCCGAAGGATCACCGCGTCGATCCTTATCCATGCAAGAAGGGTCCTGCCGCAGGGAGCCGTGCTCTACATAGCTGACGCTGTAGTGACGTGCAAACGAGGGAGTTGATATGGATGTTCTGCCTGAGATATGTCACGATTTGACTTTATATAGTTAGTCAAGAAGTGAAGGGGGATGTGAGTTAGTGAGTACCTAGGGTTATGTCTATTAGTCTTTATATGATGGTAACATGGACGTAGCCACGCCGCGCTTGATCTACGGTCTTGGCGTATAATATGGAAACTGGGCGTGTTTGCTGGTTTGTTAGGTAATGGCATGCCGCGACCGAACATGACCTCTGATCTTTTATAGGCTAAGCCCTGCAGAACGCATACAGGCTGCCGTGGGGTTTGCGCTGGAGAGATTGTCGATCACCGGTACGTCTGGGGTAATGCCAAGCGTAGCCTGGGCGGACACCGCGGGGCTATCGTATGCTTTATGATTTACTTTCGTGGGATAGGGGATAGGGGAATGGGTTATATTGGTTGGTTTGTTCATGTAATGATGCCTAGGTTAGGGATGTATGTATGTACGGTCGTGGGGAATGGATGGATCAACTTGCACCGGTCTTTTTGGTAATTAGGTACGGGATTTATATTATTTCCCCCTTGCATGTGGTTTTTATGGGAATGAAATTGTCAATGTTGAACCGATGATATCTGATATGTTAGGCATGGCATCGTTTGCTTATACTTGTACTACTAATACTTGTTACATGAAGATATTAATATTAAATTCGGAGACTGCCGGTTCTCTTATTGTAATACCTTCGATATACATACCTGAGACGATACAAACGATCGAGAACGCATCGACTAAATCGTTCAAGTGGGTATCTCAAACGCCTCGTCAAGTTCTGGACCTTGAACATGCGTCTCACGAAAATCTCTTAGTATCAGCTGGTCTGCTGCCTAACCGTTAGGTAGGTAAGTATCTTTCCTTTCTCATGAAGTTATTCATTTTCTATCATGCCGTTTTTATACTAGACTTCAAAGACGCGATGGTACATGCCGAATGCTACCCTACAATACCACGCAAGGCCTACCGCTGTCCCTGTCCAGATGTTTCCCCAAAATTGTAGATCTCCTCTAGTCGTATTTTACTTGTTACTCTCTTCTGCATTGCATCCTTTGGAGGCAACAAACGTAACATCCCATACATGTATTCGCGTATTTATTAGAATAAGAGCAAGTTATATAGAACATAGCCTATTGGTTCATAGAGCCGTTAATCGACTTGGGACACGTTATTCGTACCCGTTTGGACGCGAATACTTCCCAACCTCGGGCCATTGGCTCTCTTACATAGTAATAGCTCATAAGCCTCCCAGATTAATATATTTTGAAGATGCTGTACCTGCTTTTAGTGCGCATGTTACTGGACGCTCGCGATTCACATGGAAATTCTCTTGTATTGTACAATAACTACCACAAGATAAGAGGTACGGTCCAGCTTCAACGTACCATTAATACCTCGACACGGAGTCATGTCCTACTGGAGACTTGATTCGGCTTTGTCTCCTTGGTAATCTGTAAATCATCTTTGTCGTATCTCTTTACTCTTGGCCACCTTTGTTCGACCACCACCACCACCACCTATCTTTTCAGACTCCGCTTCAATAATGATAAACGTGATAACTTGGGTGGGTTGGCGGGTTGGCGGGGTCCTGCGGTCTTCCAATTCGGGACTATTAGATATGGTCACAGGTCTTTGGAACCTGCAGAAAAGCCCCTGTATTGTACGTGTGTATTAGGTACCTAGTATAAGCATGTAAGCAAGCATGTAAGCTGCAAGTGCTCTTGGACCCTTGAGGCGCGATTGGATAGAGAGCCTCTTCTAGTGTAGTGTATATGGAGCTGGTAAGAAATTGGGATATCAATAATTGAAGGGATTACCCAACTAATAACAGTCTGAACTAATACATAAAGAGTCCTAATAAATGCAAATTCTATTTTACGTTAGTCTTAGATTAGCTGATTAGGTACTTAATGCATTAGGTATATGTACAATTATGCCCTTCAGGCCCGAATTGAAATCCATATTTCGCCCGAGGCTAGAATCTCCTAGCGTGAGAGGGGTTGGGTACAGGTACGAAATACTCTAGGTACTAGCCTATTCCCAGATATGAGGTAGGTATTTTACAGGGGCTAAAAAAAGAGGCTTGGGTTACGACAAAGCGGGAAAAGAGGAAAACCTTAAATCGGACAGCTACTTCTCCGAGTTCCCATCATTTTAATCTAGTTTCTCGTTTTTTTTTATAATGGAATCTGGTTCCTCATCTTAAATGTTTGACTTTTCCATCTAACCTTAACCTCGACCGCCACCTATTCTTGTTTGGTTTAGACTTGTTTCTAGTTGTTTCTGGTTCGTCCACCACGCGTCTCATTATTGTACTAGGATAGAATTCGGCCAAATCCGCCTTTCATACATACATAGGTCTCCGTCTTGAAGAGCGGCGATGCTACCACCGACGATCTCTTAGCTACTACAAACTCGGCATCAATATGGTTCCGCATCCCTTATCAAAACAGATCTATTAGATCTGTTAAGCTCCTGTAGCCGGCGAATTAAGTTAGGTAACATATAGCTCCTAGCTCTTTGACAAGCCAACCGAAAGATCAGGGCGTGTAATACATCTTTTGGTATATTGGTAGCTGATTTTGCGCTGCCTGCCTCGTTATTTTTATGAGAGACCATGAGTCAAGCAACGGGCCGGAGATCAAAATATCACGAGCTCTCTTCAGCTCGATAGCACCCGGTACTATCTACTAGCAAGCTTAATCGAACCCTGAGCGATATTAGGTTTTGCCGAACTACTTTCTTCGACAGCGATAGGTTCGAGTCATCCTGTACCGTCCGAGGTTGATCCGCCATAGGACTACCTAGTAGTAGTAGTAGTTTTAGGTGTCAGCTGTTTAGTTCGAGGGGAGAAAGGCGAGTAGAGTTCAAATGGCAAGCGACAATGGCCAGTCAGACGTTCCGGCGTCTCATGTAGACGAGGACAAAGGAAGTAACAGCGCGACACCGACTTCGCCTCCTCCACCCCCCATTCCTTCAGCAGATCCGAAATTGGTATTTCAAGCTCGAACGCCGCCTCCGCTCCATACCGCCCCGAGTCCTTCCTCTCACGACCTCTTCAAATTATCCCCTATTGCGGCTCTTAAACTGCTCGGTGCCAGTGTCGAAGCGCTTGTCCACATTACAGGCGATATACCTCCGACACCTCCCCCTACGAGCCCAACCATTCCTAATATGCGCAGTATGCAACGGGAAAAGGCGGAAATAGTCAGGAATCTCTCAGAAAAGAGCCTGGTTCGACTGCGGGAACAGGCCGAAATCCAAGCTCGGGCTCAAGCTCAGACTCAGAATCCCGCGCAGGCCACACCCAACCAGTCCATCGACGGCGTCCATCTTAAGAAGGCATCAACCCCGGGGGTGCCAAAGAGCACCCCAGAGCCGTATATAATCATCGGCGCCAACTCGCAGCCGCTCAATCTTCAACACAGCGCTATCACGCGCAAGTTCTTTAGCAAACAGCCTCCGCCGATCAGTATCGAGGATTATCTGTTGCGGATACATCGATTCTGTCCCATGTCAACTGCCGTGTATCTTGCGACATCGTTTTATATTTTCCGGCTCGCTGTTGTGGAGCGGGCCATCGTTGTCACGCGGAGGAATTGCCACCGTCTACTTCTAGCGGGTCTGAGAGTAGCAATGAAAGCTCTCGAGGACTTAAGTTACCCGCACGCCAAGGTCGCTCGGGTTGGTGGAGTGAGTGAGATCGAGCTGGCGAGGCTAGAAATTAGCTTCTGCTTTCTAACCAGTTTCGAATTGGTGATAGGGGAAGATACCTTGAAGAGTCATTGGGAGACATTGAAGCACGGCCATGGCCTCGTGGGCTTCGAACTCGCACAGTCGGACGATGATGCGATACCGATTTTGAAATTGGACGAGACACCGAAAAAGGGGTGAAATCTGGATCTGGGCGATTACTTTAGGCAATGTTGCGATGTTGCGATGTTGCGATGTCGCACCATCATTATACATTAAATGTGCGGTTTGGAATAAGAGCAAAAAGAAGACAAAAAAACCTTCCACCGGCCCAGCCCAACACCTATGTTTAACACCGGGTGTCAGCTACTGCGCCTCCCTACTTTCGATTACTGGGATATTATGTTTCGACCGGATACGTTCCTCGCCAATTTAGGTATTCGCCGCGATGCAGGGGAACGGGTCGTGTATGTAGCAGTCAAAGTCAGGGGTCGTCCGAAAAGTCCCCCCGTAGGGTTCGAATCCGGCTCCTCCAAGAGCATATTGGTTTGCGGCTGCTCGAGGCCTTTCAATTTGACTAACTAGCGGGTGAAAGTCGAATCGATTTTTAGACTTATGAGGGTACCGAAGAGAGGGGTTACGAAGGGGCGTTGCTGCGCGACGCGTGCCTACGTGACGCGTGCTTCGGGCAACCAGCTGCAACCAACTGACGTGGGGTTTCGAACATGCGCTCTGCTGTGAAGAGAACGATCTATACACCAGGCCATGTACTCAGATTGAGGATATTTGGCTACAATATTTATACCCGAATTCGGATTAGGAGGTCTAGTAGATACTAGGGGTAGACACAACCGATGCGGAGACTAAGCGATAAAGACGTTTTCTGGGCAGGAATCACTGAGGAGCGACAATATAGGGCCTTGGTGATAAAATTTTGGCTATTGTCTATATGCGCATGGGACATATTTATGTAGCGTTTGTATTATATGGGCGGCGGTTGTTTCTGAAGCATTTTTTTTTTCGAAGGGCATCATCGAGGAAGGGAGACATACGTGGAGAACTCGTTCATACCTGATACCCGACTCTTTCTACTCATACATAGTATATTGAGCATTCTACTCCAGCATTTAAGGGATTTTTCTCTCTCAGTTTTCAGGATTGCATTGACTATGGGCCTGGTGAGGCGTGGATTACGAGAATAGAGGTATTGGTCATCTTCAGTTGATATCAAGGGCGAGTTTACGAGATGCTTGCTTTTTATATACATGGTATCTATGGCCATACTAAGCTATTGACTGGTGGTTTTAGATATAACTATAATCAAGTATCCCTTGCCCAAGACGTGTTATAGTTCGGGTCCGGCCGTGACGGACCGGAAGGATTTATACATAGGTAGTTTGACCCGTATAGTATTCCGATGATAGCCGCGCCGGGCAATACTAATTTTAGCCAAGATAAGATACGGAATACCGCTTTTGCGATGCTAGAGCTCAAGTACGGCGCACTGTGCTGCTTGCACCTACCTAGCCTGAATGTATACATGTAGGTAATATGTGCGATACGAGAATATTGAGAAAGATACCTCTACCAGTTTCCCTTGGAATTCTTAGAAGTAGCATAAGCATAAGAGCACGTGTGGCGCCGAAGCTCTACACGGATATTCAAACTATTCAAACTACCCCGCATTCGCATTCGCATTCACGTTCATATTGCGAAATCATCCCACTTGGAACTGTTAGAACATCTAAACCACTTAAACCACCTACAGCTTTTTTCGCCCCCGCAACCAGACATATAACAACGCCAACGCTAGCGCCAGCGAGGTTCGCGAGGTTCACAATGTCCAAGGCGAATATCGATGTCGAGAAAATACTGCAGGGGAAGTACCCGGCCAAGGCGCATGCGAAGCGCGTGGTTGAGTATATCAGGTCCAAGATCCCCGATGCTACCGGTATTCTGTATCTAGAGGGACGATCAGACAAGCTATTGGAAGATAGCGACGAGCCGATTCCTTTCCGGTAAAACTATCCGAAAAAAACTATCCGAATTTTACTTTTCCAAGGGCGACGCTAACCGCGAAAGCTGCGCAGACAACGGAGGGCTTTCATGTACTTGACCGGTGTCGACGTTGCCGACTGCTTCTTCATCTACGATATAGCCACCGCGCACTCGACCCTCTTTATCCCTCCTATAGACCCGGACTCAGTTATCTGGTCTGGCTTGCCATTATCTCCCGAGGAAGCTCTGTCGACGTACGATGTCGATGCTGTCCTTCCTTCTACCGAGCTCAACCCTACACTGGCTAGGCTGGGAGCCGCTCCTAATGCCACAGTCTTTGCCATTGCCGATCGCGTCTCGGATGCCGTGACCTTCCTAGAGTTTACCAACAAAGATTTCACTGTTCTAGGCGAAGCCATCGAAGAGAGCCGTGTTATCAAGGACGAGTACGAAATCGCTCTCATCAAGAAAGCTAATGAGATTAGCGGAGTTGCCCACAAAGCCGTCCTCGAAAGGGTGAAGAAGGCCAAGAACGAATATGAATTGGAGGGAGTATTCGTGGGCACGAGCATTTCTCAGGGGGCTAAGAAGCAAGCGTACCCCAGCATAGTCGCCAGTGGACGGGCCGCTGCTACTCTACATTATGTGCATAATAACAGAGACCTAGCTGGAAAGGATTTGTTACTTTTAGATGCTGGAGCTGAGTGGAGCTGCTATGCTTCTGATATCGTGAGTAGCCAGAGTAGCCAAGTGCAGCATTTTATCACATTATTAGACATTGATGAAAAGAAGAATGCGTTAGACTGACGATATTTTAGACGAGAACCTTCCCGATTTCCGGAAAATTCACCGAAGAGTCTCGAGCTATTTACGAGATTGTTCTCCAGATGCAAACAGACACCATCGCCGCTCTGAAAGAAGGCGTGTCGTGGGATGAGGTCCACTTATTAGCGCATCGGATCGCCATTGACGGCTTACTTTCTCTAGGAGTCTTAAAAGGAGACAGGAAGGAGATTCTCGATGCTCGGACAAGCACGGCATTCCTCCCCCACGGCCTGGGCCACTACCTCGGATTAGATACTCACGACACCGGTGGCCATCCTAACTATTCGGATCCCGACCCGATATTTAGGTACTTGCGAGTCCGGGCGAACCTCCCTGCAGGAAGCGTGATTACTGTCGAACCCGGTGTAAGTGAAATGAGTACCTATACCCTTGTAAACTCTCACCAGACTGACTTTATGATAGATCTACTTCTGCGAGTTTATCATCAGACCTTACCTGAAGGACCCTAAACATGCCAAATTTATCGACGAAAAGGTGTTGGATAAATACTGGGACGTCGGTGGTGTGAGGTAAGTGAAAACGAGCTGAGATTACTTTTATTCTAGTTATGAGATAAGAGCTAATTTGAATGAAATAGGATTGAGGATAACTTACTCATCACGAAGGACGGTTCAATCAATCTAACCGATGCGATCAAGGACCCCGATGAGATAGAGAAGATCATTTCTAGCAGTTAAGCAAGGAAGATTTGTATGAAAAGGGATAAGTACCTGGTTGACGAGTTGTGATATTGCTGCTACTTCACAGGCTCTTCTCTATATCTGATGAATGAATAAAGATATAAATATAAATATGATACCAATGTTTCTGATTCTCCAGCGTCATCTCTTGCTGATTAATTGCTACTCTTGTAACGTATTCATACTCCAAACACTATGACTCTATCTCTTATCAAACCCCCTCCAGTGTAATACCTACACGTTTTGTTTGACGATATTGACGATAGCCTTGGAGTAGTTCTACTATATGGTATGAAGTGACTGTCATAGAAACTAGTAACTAAAATCTGCCCCCATATATAATATGTGCCTGGTTAGGAGGTAGGTAGCTAGCTATCTTCACATCATATTCCTGGTCAATGACTACAGGAACTCCTATCGTACTAACATCCACCAACTCAAAAGATCCTCCTATTACCCTCGACTCTACCCACTATACATACCCAGAGCTAAAACATATTAGTAGAGTAGTATCACCAAATTGTTGTCTCCCCAAAATACCTGCCATTCGCGGTTGGAGCCCCTTGCCACCAATACACCAACCAGGGCTGTTTCCGTCATCTGCACGCATCGCACGCCATCCGCCCGCCCACACAGCACGAAGTGGTCCCAGCGGTTCGGGACCCTGCCGAAAAGCTTGACATATATGTATGTGGCTTGCAGACGCCCCTCCCTCCATCCTTCCCCTGCGCTATCGCCATAACGCAATTCTTCCCCCCCACGGCGTGACGCGCGCGAGCATGGGTTCGGAGATGTATGTGTTCCCGGGATCCCATCCCGGACGGGAGGCGAAAACGGAGTGGAGGGTGGTGGTGTATGTAGGTGTAGGTGTAGGTGGACGAGAGGAGAAGGCTTCACTGAACTGACTGACTGGCTGACTGGCTGGCTACTTGATTAAATAAAACCGTCGCGACCTTCCTTCTTTAGCTGTTTGATGTTGTGCGGTGTAGTAATTAATTAATACCTACGTTTTTTACTTACTTACTTACTAGGTTACCTGTATTCCAATTCCCAGCCGCCAGCCAGCCAGTACGAAAGCCCCGATAGGAGGATCCCAGCATATGTTAGGTACCTAGGAAAGGAAAGGAAGGGAACGGAAAAAGAAAAGAGAAAGCCATGTCGCAGCTGCAGCTGGGCGTGCACGGCATCACGCTGGTGCCGCAGGGCACGGGGTACGGGCTGCTGATCGGGCTCGGGGTGGCCTTCTGCGCCGTGATCCTCGTCGCCATCAAGATCCAGCGCGCGTACCTGTCCGAGGACTCGGGGACCTCGGAGATGTTCATGGTGGCGAACCGGTCCGTCGGGATCGGGCTCACGGCCTCGGCGGTGTTTTCCTCGTGGATGTGGATCAACGAGACGGTGTTCGCGGCGGCCATGTGTTATCGTTTCGGGCTGGCGGTGCCGCTGTGGTGGGCGACGGGCCTCTGCTTCCAGATCGCGCTGATGGCGGCGCTTGGTGTCTTGGCTAAGATACGCGTGCCCTACGCGCATACTTCGCTCGAGATTATCAAGATGCGGTATGGCAGGGTTGGGCATGTGGTGTTTATCGTGCTGAACTTAACTAATAACGTGTTTGGGTGTGCGTCCATGATCCTCACGGGCTCGCAGCTCATATACGGTATTTCGGGCATGCATTTCGTCGCGGCCACTGTTCTCATTCCCCTCGGTGGTAAGTTAACTACGCTCTTTTTATACTCGTTGAAATTGAAATATGGATATTGGAGACTGATTAACCGTCTGGTAGTGGTCTTGTATACCGCTGTAGGTGGCCTTAAAGCTACCTTCCTTACGGACTATATCCATACTACCATCGCTCTGGTGCTTATCATGTACTTTACGTTGAGCATTCTAACACACGAAGCCGTAGGCGGGCTTGGGGGTCTCTACGACAAGGTTATGGCGACGGCGGCTGAGAATTACATCCCTGGAAACTTCGAGGGCTCGCTCCTTACTATGAAATCCAAGGATGCTATTATCTGGGGTCTGATCCTTAAGTTTGGCAACTTGGCCCTTGTGGTTATGGACACGGCCTTCTGGCAGAAGTCTTTTGCTAGCGAGGTTTCTGCCACCGTGCCGGGCTATAACCTTGCGGCCGTCGCCATCTTCGGAATTCCTTGGGGACTAGGTACTGTTATTGGTCTAGCCGCGCGAGCTATTCACGATACCCCTATCTTCCCGTCGTATCCAGGCCTGTTCACGAGCGCCGAAGTCAATGCTGGGCTTGTCATGCCGTACACGGTCAAGGCATTAATCGGCGACCAGGGTATAGTTGCTTTCTTCGTGCTGTTGTTTATGGCGTTAACGTCAACCGTGAGTTCGTCCATGATTGCTGTGAGCTCTATCCTGTCGTTCGACGTCTACAAGAACTATATCAATCCCAAGGCAAATGACAAGCGACTCCTGAGAGTGAGCCATCTGGCTGTGGTGGCCCATGCCATCTTCATCACGGGTGTCTCGCTAGCTCTTAACTATGGCGGTGCGGATATGACTTGGATCGGTTACTTTCGTCCTATCCTCTCGTGCCCGGGCATCATCCCCTTAGCCTTGACCTTATGCTGGTCCGGGCAGACGCGCCTCGCTGCTATCCTATCTCCAGTCCTAGGTTTCTTTACCGGCCTCGCTATATGGCTAGGTACGGCGAAAGCCCTGTATGGTACTATCAGCTTAGAGACGACCGAAGCTGGACTACCAGCATTATACGGGGCGTGCGGATCGCTATTCTCGCCGGCAATCTACTCTTTCCTGATCTCCAAGTATAAGCCTTACAAGTTCGATTGGCGCGAGTTCCTACGCATCGAACTTGCTGACGAATTCCGGATCGATCCCGATAGCGCATCTTCCGCAGAGCAATCGGAAGAGTCGTCAATTAGCGACGAGAAGAAAGATGCCGGCCAGAAAAATGATGATGAAAAACACCCAGCTACTCCTGAACGTGTATACCTGCCTCGCGAAGCCCAGGCATCGTCTTCGGAAGAAGTAACTAAAGTGCCATCACACAACCCAGAGCACGCTCCTGGCGATACGGAGAAGAGCTCGCCTCAAGTCACGATCTCGCCGCGGAACAAGCCAACCGCAATCCCCCTCGACCAGATCCAACATCCATTCAGCGAAGAAACGTTAAAGGAGCTGCGGAAATGGTATCGTATCGCATGGGCCTTCTTCGTCTTCATCGTGCTAGTAACGTTCGTGGCGTGGCCCATGCCGCTGTACCGCGACTACATCTTCACGAAGCCGTTTTTCAGCGGGTGGACTACCGTCGCTATCGCTTGGCAGTTCTTCTCATTCCTTGCCGTCGCGGTGTATCCGCTGTACGATGGACGTCGCGAGATTGCTAAAGGTGCCAAGGGCGTGTGGAAAGCTACGAGGGGGTATTTTGGGAAATCAGCCTCGGCATGATGTGGGATACTAAGGGTATACCTATCCATAGACCCAGATTAAGGCTAGAAGAAAGGGAGGATAATACTTTGGGTGGCTTTTATGATTTGTACGGGTAGATGATAAATATAGATTTTGTGGTCAAGGTTGAATTATCGGGTTAGATCTGGTTACCGCAGATTACTTGAGAGGGAGCGATACAGAACAAAGCTGGATACTTCTCATGACATTTTGTTCCCTACGTTGGTTCATCGTAATGTAGACGTCACGTAAAATGTAGTAGTAAATTGTAATAATATTACTTTATTTAAGACATCAAGGCTATCACGATAGTGCATACGCTTCATATCTCACGTAAATCTTGTAGCGACATTCATTTACCTCCCTCGGCGTCCCAGACGTGTCCTCAAGCTCCTCTTCATGAGCACAGCCTGCTGCTGCCAAGGCCCACCCGGCTTGTTCGTGTTGACATCGTACGTAGTATTCGCCGGCAGAATTTCCCACTGCATCGTGGAATTCCCCTGGCGGTACGTGCTCTTCTTCGTTCCCTCCGTGAGATACTCCAAGTCCACCACTTGTTTTCCGGTCTGGATGTCCTGGCCTTTGATGGCTCGCTCGAAGAACTCCAGGGCGGCTAAGGGCTGGTAGAAGGGGACCTCGTGGCCGCTCTCGTAGATTCGCGTGAAGCTGAACTTGCCAGATTGTTTTACTTGGCCGTGCGTTATGTTGTCGCTCGTGATTATGTCCGTATAGCCGGCTTTCGAGAATCCCGGCGCTGCAACTTCTTCTACCACGGCTTCGCCTCCGAGCCAGTTGCAGTTGTAATCCGCGTCGCCCGCGTAGATTGCCACGGTTATGTTTTTGGAGATCAGGTAGCGGAGGTCTTCGATCGTACCCATCTCCCGGCTGTCGTCGCCGGTACCGCTAAACGCCTGGCCTACGGCGTCGCTGAACGACGAGAAGTTGGTAAAGGCGCCAATTGCGGCTTGCAGCTCCGCCGAGTTTAGGTAGTCGCTGTAGAATCCGTATGGGAACGGATCTGGCACGAGCTCCCGCACATCATACTCGTCTCGGCCGAGCACGTTATCGTATACGGATTCGACCATGTTAGCGCAGAAGCTGTCGGCGCTGCTGCAGATGTGGTTCAAACCAGTAGCTTTGCAGTCATTCAGTCGGTCGATGCAGTTCCCGGGTCCGTACAAATTGTTATAGAACATGGATTCTATAGACGCATTGAAGGGCGCGTAGTCATAAGTGTTCCCGGGAAAGACGGTGAAGTTGTAATAGGCTTGATACTGAATTATCGGGTCATACCATCCATTACCTATCAGGACCGACTCCAGCTGAATCTCTTTCGCTCCAGGGATCTGCTTGGCGTTCTGCTCTTCGATATAGGCATTGAAGACAGGTCCGTAGTGGCCGCCATAGCTTTCCGTCGCGAAGTGAAACCCGTTTCGCGAGTACTTGGGGAATGCACCCATGAAACCCTGGAGGGTCTTCCAGAAATTAGGAGCAGCATTGGTAGTTGAATTTGCTGTCAGCGTAAGATTCGGGTAGGAATAGGTTCCGCACGAGCCAGCAGGCGCATAGTCGGGACACGTAGCGTCTGGCACGGTTACAATGTTGCCGTCCGAATACCAAGCATTGACTGGCTTGGAGTAGGAAAAGCCGACTTGAGTGGGTTGGTCGATGAAGAGCAGATTGCTCACGTTAGACCACGAGTAAGGGTTGTTGTAGACGTTGCCGAAGTAATCAACACGACACGGGCCCAATTCCTCAAAGAGGCCGATCATAGAGCTCGAGCCAGGACCGCCATTGATCCAAACGGTCAATGGGGCTTCTGACGGATCTTGGTTGCGGGATTCGAAAAACCACCAGAAGATGTGTTCGTCCTCTCCCACGTCGGCATATCCCGAGTAACTCTTCACATTAGGGTCCAACTCGCATGTCCCTGCAGGCACCTCTTTGTACCGAACTGGAATATCAGCGTAGCCGACAACCTTCTCGAGCGAAGTCGGTGGCGCAACGAACTGAGCTAATCCGTGAGATGCCGCAGCTACGAGCAACAACGGCCGCACGAAGGAAGACATGGTGAAGGCAATTATCACGAATCACGACGCACGTAAGAAGCGGGAAGACAGGAAGGGAATAATCAACGGACGCCAAGTCACGATTTATAAGGAATGTTCGGTAACAGCCGCGATGATCGCCGGGGTGCCTGGATGAGTCTTACCGGTCTGGGATTTTCTTTTGTTGTCAATGGCTGTTCTAGGTAACGAGCCGTGGTATTGGGCTGACGCCATTGGCGGCGCACCACATCGTATCTGCCATGTTGCGTTGGGGCCTGCATACTGCGCGTCGTCTAGCTTGAATAGGCATGTAGGCATGCCATTTGTTTATCTGCTATCGTATCGTGCGGGGGTTCGTTAAACGACGTCGTACTGGCTTAGATGTGGTGAGATGTGGATGGGGGTTGGCGGGACTACTATAGTACCTCTACCCATACGATAACGAGCGCAAAAAGCAAGGAGTAGTTGTGGAGTATTCTATCGAGATCACGCATTGAGAGTCTCCCAGTAATGAAATATACCTGGGCTGGCATTTGAGTTCAATGGACATATTCTTGTCATATCTGGTAACTCACATGTAGTATTCTAGCCGTAGCAGCAGCCCTAGAGAGCAGCCATTCTGATAACTTGACGTCCATCAACAAGTCCTGCGCGGGAGCCCAAGAACAACTCTTCCGAAAAGTTCAGCGGAATTCAAAAGTTCCACCGGATAATGCATCGTTGGTGATCTATCAGAGTGAGTGGCGTTGCATACGACTTCGAGTATAGGCAGCCGACTTACTGATTCTTCAGTATTAGGTAAAATTCTTGCTACTTTCTGTAAACGATATATAGACGGATGGTTTCAGCTGTCTATTTATTCTTATTTCTTTTTTGCCGTCTAGCTAGAGTGGCTTTGGTATGTCCTAGGTTGTCGTCACGTCGAACCCCAAGTAAGCGGTTTCTAAGGTTCTTTTTAACCCCAATTTCTTTTTGGAAGGGAGGACAAAGGTATCTAGATAATCATGAGAGATATCGTATTCTCAATATTCCAAGCCTTCCTTTAATTCTCTATGATTAGTTCTCTTAATCAGTCCCCTTAGCAATCCATACATACCTAGGTACTGACAGAGTCCTTTATTCCATATGTCTCATCTGGAATCCTAACACACGAGACCACGGTAGAACGCTACATTTACATTTAAATTTAACAGATTCGTTTTAGAATAGCTTCTCGGAAAAGCCGGACGGGCCCCGGGCATATAATAAGGCTGCATAGGGTAGATGCATATCATCGTCGTCGAGATCAAGATTTCGAAGACCCCCCCACGATGTCAGGATTCTGGAGTAAGCCACTTCAATTTAGTGTATTGTACGAGCCACTATCCGTCCTTTACTTTAGTATGTGGCTGATACAGTATCAATAAATGGAATATAACACAATCAAATACGTTTTCTTGGCGTTGTTCAACCTCGCCGAACTTCACGGACCCCACCGACGTGGCGGATTGACTAACCTCGCCGACCTCGCCGAGGCCGACGGCATGCCAAACTTACAGCGTGCCGTGCCGCCTCTAGTATAGGAACACTTTGAAGTGCCGGAGCTTATTCTGGTGAACACTCCGAGTAGGGCAGACCATCCTACTTAATAGCTTGAAGAGGCAGGGCATCGGCAGCCGCTATCTATCGGCGAACCGACCAAATGCGAGAGCCGTACGGAACCCTGGCTTCTCCATAATGTAAAGCTCTATAGTCGGGAGCTATGATTGCTCAGTGGCATCTAATTATAGGTCCTCAACAGGCACATAGGGTGTAAACTGCTACATTGCTCTATTCTATGTTGTAGATCTCCCACGTGTAACACGGATTGACTTGATATGTATAGTCCTAGTGTATCGCCCGCCTTAGAATAATTTCTCTGGGCGCTTGTTTCGCTCCTCGCTCTTTTGACTTGTCTACCACTCTCCCCCCCCCGCGTTGAGAGCTATTCATGATGGCCGCGTCTCAGGAAAGAACTAGTGCCGACGCTGAAGCGACTAGCGCCAGGACGTCTATTCCACCCGCATCGCTATCAAGGTCGCTGAATGAAAAGGCGGATCTGAAAGAGGCTGCTACTGTTGCGAACGACGATGTTGTTGACACTCCACAGGCAGTGTACCCAGAAGAATGGAAGCTATGGATCGTCTATGTCGCGACGCTGCTAACTATGTTTCTTGTGGGTAGATATCCTTGGCTGGATAGTGCTTGGCTGGATTAGGTACATATAGCTAACCGCGTCTATTCTATAGGTACCGCTTGACATGGTATGCAATTGACTGCCTTACTTAATGTTTCTATCCGTCAAGTTTTATCTTAACAATTACCCCTAGACCATAGTAGCAACCGCTATCCCTAAGATCACCGAAGAATTCCAGAGTCTGGACCAGGTTGGATGGTATGGCTCGGCGCTCTTCCTGACCTTAGCAGCCTTTCAGGCGCCATGGGGAACCATCTACAAATAGTTCCCGCTCAAAATCGCTTATGCCGTCTCCGTTTTCATATTCGAATTCGGAAGTCTGATTTGTGGTGTTTCGAGGAACAGCCAGATGCTCATCGCGGGCCGTGTGATCACCGGCTGCGGAGGCGCAGGTATTACTATCGGTAGGTACCTATGTTATCATTGCTCATCTTGTTCCGGCTGCAAAAGCTCCGGCTTTTATCGGCGGTATAGGCGCTGCTTTTAGCATTGCAAGTGTAGCTGGTCCGTTGGTAGGAGGAGCTTTCACTGGAGAAGTTACGTAGAGGTGGTGGTACGTCTGTCTTTGATTACTTGTGGTCATGATACTTACTGCTCTGCAGTTTCTACATTAACCTACCCATTGGTGGTGCTGCATCCATCATTTTCTTCATTCTATTCCCGAAGCCAAGTATGCCGCCCCAGCCAGCAACTCTAAGGGAGAAGCTCCTAGGGTTGGATCCCTTAGGAACGATTCTTGCGGTTACGTCCATCATATGCTACTTCCTCGCTCTCGAATGGGGCGGCGTGTCGAAGGCGTGGAGCAGCGCGGACGTGGTTGGGACTCTCGTCGGCTGGATTCTTCTTGCTATCGCTTTTGGTGTGGTGCAATGGTTCCTCAAAGAGCGAGCATCGATCGTCCCCCGAATCCTCGCGCAACGACACGTATGTGGTGGTGCGGCTTTCATGTTCTTGTAAGTGTCATCGAGATACGTACTCCCTCTACTCCCTCAACTTTAACTAACAGGTGAAAATTAGACTGAGTTGCGCCAACTTCATGATGATTTAAAACCTTCCGCTTTACTTCCAATCTGTGAAGGGTTCCAGTCCGACTTTGAGTGGTATTCAAGTTCTGCCACTCATTGTTTCTGCCTGTAAGGTCTTCTAGGCCCTCTTTTCAATACTCACTAACATCACATGATAGCTGTAACCGTTATAATCAGCGGTATTCTCTTTACAAAGTTCCCCTTTTATCAACTTTACCTCCTCATTGGTGCCAGCTTAACAGCAATTGGTGCTGGACTACTTTACACTCTCGAAGTAGACTCGTACGCAGGAGCATACCTGGGGTATCAGTTCGTAGTCGGTATCGGTAATGGCGCGTGCCAGCAGATCCCTTTTACGGTCGTGCAAGCCTTTTCTAAGCCCCAAGACTTGGCCACGTCAATGTCTACCCTTCTCTGTGGTCAGACCCCTATCCCGGTCTTAGTATCTCTACGAGCATGAGATGCAGTCATATAAAGAAAACTTACTAAACCATCTTACTTTCGCCCAACAGTCTTTCAACTGCTATCAGGTGCCATGTCCGTGGCCGCGGCTCAATCCCTTTTCATAAACCGCTTGCTCTCCGCTGCTTCTATCCGTGTCCCAGACGCCGACCGCGCAACCATCATCGCCACTGGAGCTACTGACCTCCAACGCGTGTTCCCTGGCGACCAACTATTAGGAATACGCGAAAGTTATTTGGACGGATTGCACGCCGCGTGGGCTATGGCTATTGCGTTTGCGGGTGCTGCTTTGTTGACCGGGTTGACGCTAGGATTCAAGAGGGTTGAAAAGCCTCAGGGAGAGCCGACGAAGGACGTCGAGGAGGGCTAGGGGGACTGAAGTAAAGGTTGAGGGGAATGGCACGCTAGGTAGTGGTGAGAAAGCGTGAGCAGTTTAGCGAGATGTGATGATCATCCGGTGCCAACCGAAGCTTGCCTCTAGATTATATATAGAGTCTCTATATATAAGTGCCCCGGACTCTATTTCTTTGTTTAAGAATTGAGTATTCGTCATTGGAACGCAGCCAATCGCCTTCCAAACAAGGCAGCATTAGCCCCTCGAAGTTACCTGCTAGTACTTATAATATTTATAGGATGTATTTATAGGATGCGCATTTCTATATATTTCCTCGCTCCCTATTCTTATTTGATACTCTACTTCTTAGTGTAACACTATAGCAACACCAAACCTCATTCATCATATAACATGCCTGCATCCTCCTCCACCTCTTCAGATTTTACTGTAGTGGCGGTTTCGCGCTCGCGACCAGCTACCCACGATATTCACTCACAGCCAACACTTACAGCTATTGTTCGATCGCCTTCGACCACGCCGTTGGTACTCACCCCTGAAGAAGGAATCGAAGGTCACAAGTCTGCTGTTCATGATGCGCAGGTATACGCATTCTTTGCCCATCATTATGATTACTGGACGTCACGGCTAAATATCGAGCGGTCTGAATGGAGTTGGGCTTTTTGGGGAGAGAACTTGACCTTGAAAGCGGCGGATGGACTTGATGAGTGGAGCATTAATTTAGGGGATCGATGGGTATTTTCGTCCCCTGATGATGAGGGGGAGAGCAAGGACAAAGGATTTAAGAACAAAGGGGTTATTCTCGAGGTTGTAGGGGGACGGAGTCCGTGTTCACGGCTCGCATGGCGATGCGGACAGCCGAGCAGTTGGCTAGCCGAGGTCGCTAAGTCCGGCTTTTGCGGTGTCTACCTGAAAGTCGTGCGCGGAGGTTCCATCGCGCCCGGTGCCACAGCAAGAATCATCCCGACTCATGAGGAATACACGGTTCCGGCTGGTAGCATTGCCCAGTGCGTGTTCTCACCGCTCGGAGATCTTGCTACTCGTATATTGGCAGAGCGTATCCTGCGTGTGCCTAACTTGCAAAAGATGAACAGACATGTCATCGCTCGCAAGCTAGGGATGATTGAGGATAAAGAAGTTACAGGGAAGAATCGATGGGCTGGGTGGCGGTCTCTAAAGGTCGTCAAGGTGGTCGATGAGTCTGCAACTGTCAAGTCTTTCTATCTGAATGCCGTTGATGACAAGCCCTTAGCATCCTACCTCCCAGGGCAATTCCTAACTGTAAAATTGCCCTCCGGTGACATCCGCCGCTGGTCCATTTCTTCTTGGTCGCCCTCCTCCTTTACCTCAGTCCCACCATATTACCGCATTACGGTTAAGAAAGGACCGGCTGCCTCTCGTTATCTTCACTCCAATGTCCTAACTGGGGACACGATATTAGCACGCTCACCGTCTGGGTCGTTTGTCCCTGATTTAAGCCGGGAATTCCCCCCTCGTAAGATATACATCAGCGCGGGAATAGGCATGACTCCGATTCTTAGCATGGTCCAGTCTCACTTTTCTCACCCGGCTTTAAAGAAAACACCTGCGATTCTGATCCACGTCGCCCGGAATGGTGAGGAAAATACATCCCATTTTAAATCAGAACTCTCATCATTCGACCTATTCCGCATGATCACATTTTATACCTCCCCTATTGCCGGTGTAGACGTCCAGGGTAGAGACTTTGACCATACAGGGCGACCTACGTTCGACTTCTTTAACACGTTGTTGAGTCCATCGTATTTTATCGATCCATTAGGAATCACTCCAATCGAACTACCTGGTAACGTCTCCAACGCGTATATCTGCGGTCCACCAGACTTTGTAGATACCATACGGGACTACCTTGGACGCTGCAAAGTCCCACCACCAGCTATACGTTACGAAACGTTTTCGTCAAATTCGGATTTTAAACCTGACGATCTATCAGTTTCGGCGGCGGACGGGACAGATCTTCCAGAGGAATCAGTCGTCCGGTTTCGAACGAAAGAGGCTAAATGGAAGAAATCTGAAGCGCTCTCACTTCTTGAACTTCTCGAACGAGATGGTGGAGGGGAAAGCCCAGAATCGGCTTGTCGGGAGGGCGATTGCGGGACTTGTGAGGTAGAGATCTTAAAGGGAGAAGCTCGAGTTTCGAAGGATGCGGGCAAGGAGGCGAAAGAAGCAAGTGGGAAAGCTGGGACTATGATAAGAACATGTTGCTCCTTTCCAGCAAGCCAACTTTTAGAGTTGAAATTCTGAATACTACCTACTTCATGATATTCTATCATCATGAGAGTCGCAGGATACAAATCGAAACATCAGATGCCTGTGAAATGGTTAGAGCTACATAGATGAGTACCTGGTAGCCAATAGCTTATGCCAAACCCTGTTCTTTCAAATTTAACCTCTCGTTCAACCCAACCTCCTTCACAGGCTACCTCGTCAAAGAATCACACCGCAACAAAAGATCCGGATGATGAATCCACATCTCATCATCCCACGGCCAATCCATATTCTCCTCCTCCTCTCCATGGCCACCGGCTTTCTTCTCCTTTTCCTGCCCCCCTACCTTAACATCCAACACGATATTCCAATTCTCCAACATCTCAACAACCACGCTCCTCAGGACCAACTCCGCGACGTACTTCCCCAGACAGGTTCGCGGACCAAATCCAAACCTCCAATACCGATACCGCAAGTCGCGCCCGCCCTTCTGCCGCTCAAGCCACCGCTGTGGCCGGAATCGCTCCCGGTCTTCGCCCCAAAACGGGTCTCGGATGTTGAGCGCGTACGAGTCGACGACGAAGTTGGTACCCGCGGGGACTTCGTAGCCGTCGAGGACGCGCGGCGTCGGACACGCTTGGGGCGTAGAGAACGCGGCGAGCGGGCGCAGGCGTGCGGACTCGAGAATGCACGCGCCCAGGAGAGTTGGTGTCGTCGTCCACGACGAGAGGAGGTAAGCGTTTCGCGTCGCCGGATCTGAGGAGTGCGCACGAATCTCGCTGCGCAGCGCTTCCTGCACAGCAGGATGGGCTGCTAGGAACACCAGAGTCCACGACATGCCGCCCATAGTCACGTCGATATTAGCAAACATCATCTCGTCGAGAGTTTGCAGCAGTTCCTCGCGCGACATGGTTCCTTTTTCAACGGCTTCGTACATCGCGATAATAGGGGCTGCTTCGGATCCCTTGGCATTGAGAGCGTGCGCGTATGCTCGGTCGTTCCAATCGGCCCAGCGCTCTTTGAAGTGGCGGAGCGCGCGTATGGCTGGGAGAGGGAGGAATCGCGAGATAGGGAATCTTGTGATGCCGCCGCTAATCACGTTCTTAAATAAATCTTCTCTATCCGGAATTAAATCCCTAAGTTCTCGCTCTAGCATCGCATCCAGCGGTCCATACACAACCCTTGCGACGAAGAGGAATGGGAGCAATTTTAGGTCACGCACGGGATGCAGTTTTCCTTGTTCCCTGAGCGTCTTGTTCTCCGCGCTTAAAGTGCGCATGTACGACTTGGTGAAGTCCTGTACATCGGCGACATACGCGCTCGTTGAACGGTGCAGGAACGGCGCCTCGACGCCGGTCTTAACGGCGTTCCAGGACGAGCCGCTAATAAGACCAAGGCAAGATCCCAGAAGACGTTCCATAAGGTAGCCGCTGTCATTCGCGTGGGCCTTGATGTGCGTGTGGGAATCGCGAAATACAAGTTCTACATGGGAAGGTTTGGTTAAGACGCTTATGATAAATGTTAGAAATGCGCTTGGTATTCATCTTGATAGCAGTATTGAGTTATGAAGATTGAGGTTGGAAGGGAGAATTAGGATACTCACACTTCCCCCTTCATTCCTGACCATAGGCGATAGAGACTCCCATGCTCACTCTCCCACTTGGCGCTGTTTGTGCGTCCATTCAGAAACTTTTCGACGTTTCCTTGGCCGTTAGGAAATACATATGGAAGTGATGGCAAATCAGAACCATTTTTCACATGTTTAATTTGGTAGCGGTGAGATAAGATTGTCTGGGGGTTGGCTGTTAGTTGAATAAGTGAAAAGACTACATAAGGTTTAGAAGTACTCACGTTAATTACCCTGGAAAGTAATGACTTAAGACAGGTCTGTATTGTTTGGCTTCGTAATATGAAGACAAGGCCGACGGCTGCAGCGAGAATTTCAATAGGAAAGGGAACGTTGGCGGGAATGTAAGCCTGGAAAGAGGACATTCTACGAATTTGTACGGAGCACTCCGCAGCTAATTACTTACTACGATAGATATTCCAAGTCTCTGGAGTAACGGATTACGAGCACTAATTAGAAATTAACGAAGAGGCCCCTTGGGCTATGATAAAAGGAACTACAAGTAAGACAGATCCTATCTTAGTGCCGGGAACCATATCCAGGGGCTGATTCCTCCGAGCCCCGCACCGTGTGAAGCAAACGTTACGGCGTACGGAGTCCGGGCCGAGCGTCTGTCGGCCGCCGATCCGGGAGCCGAACTCTCGGGAACTAAATAAAGACGCATCACGCCGACGTACACTACTGACATTTAAGAATTGCTAAGCTGCGAGAACCCGGGACACTATCTATATTATGCAGAACACGATTCTAGTAGTCACTATTTATAGTAGATTGCTTCTGCGGAGCAGCCGACAAGAGTGAAAAATAAGCGTAACCTTACGCACCGATTTACGGTACGTTATCGTGACTGGTTAGGCAATTTACATATTGATTTACATACATGGCAATCGCTCTCATAACACGAGACGCCGCGCTGAACTCCATTTCTGCTTTATCTGATACATCAACGTCTTCGTCCTGACCTGCAAGTCTTCTAGTAGAAGATCGTGGGTGCGTTTGGAGACGTTATTCCAATCCGGTTGTAGCAGTGTCTGCTTGATCAGCTTGGACACTTGAAGGATTGTTGATAATTCCTTTCCTACAATATGCATCTGTAAGGCTTGCTGAACCTCACGATCGACTTGGTAGGCGCCAAGGTGTAGTGAGAGGTCTCCGGATGATCCAGTGGTTGCGAGGCCGCAGATTATGGACGGCATACATTGCTCGAAGAAGGTAATTACCTGCGTGAGGCAGACTAATATGAGAATCATATGCGTAGATGATGATGGGTCTGCTAAAGGCAATGCGCGGAGAGCCTCAGTGACGCGTGGAAGGAGCTGTGAGCTCTGATGAAGCACCTCGTCTAGCGGCATGGGTGATTTGTGTGGTCTACGGGAGAGCTCTTCAAGTTGCGTCGTCCAGTAATTGACATCGCCCCCGGAAGAATGCGGCGTGCCGGGCGTTTGGCCGGAACCAGGGCCCTGGTAGCTTGATGTCGTTGTTGAAGATGAAGTTCCAGAGAGTTGTGTTGCTTGAAGTTGTTGTTGCTGCTGCTGCTGCCGCTGCTGTTGTTGTTGTCGAGATGGTGAACCTCGAGGAGACTGAGGGCTAATGAGTCGAGGGAATGTTAAATCTAAAGGAGTTCCGATAACTTCAAAATGATTATCATCGATATCTGAAAAGTCTATATCCTCGAAATTCGGAATGAGCGGGTCAAAACCGGGGCTTTGAAGCTCATCACCGATATTATCTAGCAACATGGATGTGGCCGAGTGTTTTCGCTGCTGTTGACCACTGGGTTCGTCTGAGATACTCATAGAATCACTTGCTGGTCGGTTATGATGGAGGTTATAGTTTCTCTCTACTGACGAACTAGGTAATTGTAACCCGTTCTGCTCAATTTGCTGCTCAGCGTCGCCAACTCCGCTAGATAGGCTGTTAGACGAATTCCAGTCGTGTGGCTGCTGCTGCTGATGGTGACTACCAGCAGGGCTGGTGATGTATGAACCCATGGGCTTCGGAACGCTTGACTTGCGTCTCCTGTTCGCTCTATCTACTGGTGTGCGGCCCATGTTTGACTGGCTATAGTGGCATGTCTTGTTCCCGCGCTCACAGCGCTGGCAGCCAGAAAGCTCTCCGGTGCAGCGAACCTATGGTAAGTTGTTAGTAGCTGCCTTTTATTTCATGTTCCTTGAACAATATATCATCGCCCTCTAGGTCTCTAGGTACTTACTCACCTTTGAGAGATGGCAGTTATCGCAAGCTAGACGCTTTTTGCGATCAGTGCTTGGCGACGCACTTGATGCATTGACCGTACGACCACCAATTAGTGTTGTCATCGTGAAGCACGTTGCAGCGAGATGTGAAGAAGAGGCTGGTCGTCTTTCCTGCTGCTAGGTAAAGCGATTTGGCTTCGACGAGACCCTCAGGCGTATTGTCAAGCTGGACGTCGTGCAGGTATTCTCCCCCGTACATAGGTATCCTTTTAGGAATCCAGGAATCATGGAATCGTAGATTTAAGATTTATCATCTTGTCGACAGGGGCATAATTACACTAGCAGTGATGCCAAAATGCAAGCCTAGGCTCCCTCGCTCATCTGCGGGACCTACAAGACATTGTCTAGATTCCTTCGCGTTCACCGTGCAGTGCCTGTTAGCTGACGTACGACAATGTTGGCTTGGCGTTCCGGAGTATCTAATAAGACCAACGGCGGCGCAGCAGGGAAGAGTGTGGTATAGTGGATCCGCTCGCTGACAAGAGATGCGCGCGATGTGACGAGTAACGAGTAACGATGAGGATATTTGTTCAGTAAACGAACAGAAACGAATCAGCATACCCTTGTTGCTTTGTTATCTCGTTATGAGTTTGGCTGTATTGTACACTAACGAATTAGCCTCCGGGAAACGCTATATTTAAAATCCTTCGACAGCCGCTCCACAGTAGCTTCGGTAACAGTACCTAAGCAGTGTTGGTTGGTTGGTATAACCAATAACATGTACAAATAATGTGTTGTTGGTACGTTGTTTATATTATTACCAACAGATTATGCCTTTAAGGGTTAGCAGCCTGTTTGAGCTCTTCCACCCACTTGTCAGCCTCCTGGGCCAAATCCGGATCATACAGCCAACTTAACTCGCCACCCTCACCACGTGTGAGCGACTGGTCACTCCAAATAGCGCCTGGGGGCAGCTTAGCTCGCTCTGATTCCGGTAGACGTTTTGCGTTCATTTGGTTAGTTAGATCGAGGACTTTCTTAACTCGTGCTTGGCGATAGGTCTGCCATTGTTCGGCGGCCTTGTCTAGCGGCACCTCGGGCGACAGCTTAGAGAGCAGAGTGGCTAGTGCTCTCACATCCTCGAAAGCTTGGTTGGCACCCTGACCGGCAGTTGGCGGGATCGCGTGCGCTGCGTCTCCAACTAGGATAATTCTCTTGGACTCAGATAGCCACGATGCCAGGGGCGGTATAATGTGGAAGGCCCAAAATCCCATCCGGTCTACTGGCGTCGCCTCCAGAGCTGATTGAACAATATCCGGCCAGTCAGACTTATTCTCTTGAAGCATGTCATACAACCTTTGCTTATCCTTCCTCAGAGCTTCCCAACCTTCCGCGTCCAGCGCGGGGAATCGCCTCTGCGAGCCAATAAAAAGCTCGGACCCGTCCGGCTTCTGGGGGACTAGCAGAAACGCGCCCGGCTTGGCTAAGACAGTCGCAGGTAGGCTGTATCCTTCAGGGATACGAAGCTGAGATCTCTGCACAACGCTGTTGATGCCCATGAAACCGGCGTATATAGGTTTCACTTGGGGCAAGAAGGTCCCACGTACAGCCGAATGGATTCCGTCAGCTCCAATTACGAGAGGAGCGGATGCGACACGTCCGTCCGCAAATGTAAACTCGACCTTGTCAGGGCCATCGGATGTGATGGCAGTCAATTTACTATCGAAGTGGATCGGGATGTTGCGCTCCCGTAGCATGGCCCTCATCTCATCTAGAAGTTCTTTGCGTATGATACGGATGGCATTGTAGCCGTATAACTTCTCAGAGCCGAAGTAGTACACATCAGTAGTCTGATCCTGGCCATCCTTGAAGGTGAGGATGTCGAATTGTAGCGAGTTATCGCGAACACGTTTGTAGACGCCCACGCTATCGAGGACTCGCAGGGCGTTGGGCGATAGCATAATACCACCCCCTTGGTCGAAATCCGCGGAGCGGGCCTCGTAGACCGTAGAGGGGATATTCAGATCGTGCAAGGCCAGAGCGAGGGTTAGGCCCTACGAGTAAGGGGCATCAGCAAAAGCCACAACCACAAACGGTAAGGAGAAGGTGCGACAAGACGGCGTAGATCGACGCTAATCGACTCAAAAGGCTTAGAGACAGTCGCCAGACTACTTACGGCAAGACCTCCGCCAATAATGGCCACTTCGGCAGGGGGGGCGGTGAGAACCATGGTGAGAGGACGACGTGGGTAGGGAAGAAAAAGCACAAATCCTAGCTACGGATGACGAAAAGTGCGGAAATAAATTTGGTGGGTTTCAGAGGATTCGGTCGAATATACAGTATAAAAAAAAAAACAAAACTTTCCAATAATGTACTCAGCAAATGAAATGTGAGATGGTTCGACGGATCGATCAAAAAGAGAAGAAGAGAAGGAGAGAGCAGGAGATATCCTTATTATCCTCATTGCTACTCAGCCTTACGGATGACCGCGCCGAACCGTTGGCCGTTGTCTTTCAACCTCGCCGAGCTCTTCTATTCGCTAACCTCGCCGATCTTGTTTGCCTATAGGACAACCGGGGGGCAGATTAGGATGGGGTCGCAGAGGGGGTGGGGAGAATAGGTAGGTATCGTATAGCTCCTACGGAAAATTACACAAGAGCTTGAATACTTGAGAGATTCAAACTAACAGGTATGCAGGGAGCCAGCTTAGACCTCTGGCGATTGGCTGCCGAAGTCGATTTATTACTAGCGCGATGCAATAGAGCCGGGGGCGTTGGGGGCGAGTAACACAGCATCAATGTAAGACGAGGCTCGACCTACGAATATGCACGTAGGACATAACCGGTTTGCATACATACATCCTAAAGTGGTCCTCGAAGTTATCATTTGCGTTACGAATGATAACTAATAAAGATGAAGAAAAGGGGGAGAAAAGAGGCGATTCAGAGTCCCGAGGGATTGATTAAGCTTATTTAAAGTTTAGCGTGATTGGGCTCAAATAGGCAAGTATCTATGTACGTGTTGATGTACGTGTTACAAATGAAGGTTAATATGTAACTAAGCCATTTTATATACGATTGAATCTAACGGCACGTGTGATGAAGCAGCAGAGTAGTAGCAGAGTAGTAAGGCAGTAAGCTTGGCAACAGATAGAGACCGATAAAGTCCCGCTTTTATGAGGCTGAACGAAAGGACCGATTGGGTGGTCCTTCTCTAGCTATAGCGGCTTAAAGCGGCCTAAAGTGGCATACGAAGTATACCAACAACCACTGAAGTAGTGAATGTCACCATAAGAGTAATACATAAAAACCTACATACCTGATCTGCGGGGTTTCAAGAACTACCGTAGGTATGTAGGAGGCATCATAATTGATATAATTCTCAGATTCTCCAAAACATGCTTCGCCGCAATTCTGCATTATCTCCGTCCGTAGGAATCATGTAGTCAAATAGTCCTTCAATCGCGACAACGTAACAAATTGACAAAAGAATTTAACCAACCAAGGTATATCTCCGTGGGGAATATTCTAATCAATTGGTAAGCAAATAATAAAAGAGAACTTACGATAAACTGACAATAAAACAATACGGGAGGTTCAATATCCTCAGGTGTGCGAGGCTACCAATCAGAATAATTCATGACGCATAGTATGTACAACCGTTACTTGCAGGTCCCTGGGTAGTACACACACAGATTCATTTCACCAGATGTGCGGAAAACCACGTGGTGATATCATACCCAGAACTCGTCCGTCACCCCGGTCCCCTACCGCTCGACCTGCCCAACTTAGCCCCGCCAAGATCTACAATTTCTTCAACCTTTTCCTACTATAGAACGTGGTCCGACGAGGAATATGATTTATTTGCAAAAAGACACTCTCAGATTCTTCAGCTTGGTCTTGAGGTTACACAAGACAAGCTGAATGATGAATAAAATGAGAAAAAAGACAAAAAGAACAAGAAAATCTCACTTATATCATAGGTATCTCACATTCAAACGAGAAGTCGACTATAAGAGCAGCGATAACAATTCATCATACCTACTGCAGCGCTCATTTCATGTAGGTATCACCTTTAACTCCAGAAATCCTTCAGCAAGTCAAGTGTATCAATTGAGCCACTCACATGTTCCTGATAGAAAGCTATGAAAAACGTGGTAAGGGTTCAATTGCTCCCAACCCCAGGCTCAATCGCACGCTGCTTCGACAATGCTACCTTATGTCGTAAAGTGCGGGAGCAAATTGCTACTTAAACCCCTTACGCTAATCAGTCGAATAGGTACTACATACATGTACGTAGGGCACAGCCTTGCCTCACGACAAGAGTTCAATCTTCAGCGGCTAGGTCTATTAATAGTATTGAACTAACTTAGGTACCTTAGGTAGGTAGTGAATTAACTCCACGAGGGCACTGCGTATAGGTACTTGATACGTCTGGCAGGGTACAAAAGTACCGTAACAACGAGCTTGCAGCCAGGACCGTACGAATATATGAAGCAGATCTAGAACCATGCATAGTCGCTTTAGGCTTATCAATATTGTTAACTGAACCGTAGATGGACGCTCCATTAGTGCCATGATGGCATACCTTCCTACATGGAGATGGCTGACGCTCGCAGGTATGGCTGAGGGGTTCGAAGAATATCAGGTATCTATGTATCCCCAACTCTTCTGGTCCAATTATTGTGTTATACACTAGCCTCCTCATCTCCAGTTCGTCCGAGTCGCTCGTTTGGCCGGCCGTTCGCTCGTTGTCTCGCCGTGTCTATCCTCCCCATCGCTCTACCACACAATGAGCAGCCCAGCGGTCCGCCGGTTCCAACAGGGCCGTTTATCGACCCGGCGAAAGAGTCGCTGCCTCCCAGAGCCGTGCTCCTAGTAGCGCCCGTAACCACATTCTTCATCTTAGCGATACTATGTATCGGCCTTCGACTGTGGGCGAAGCGCATAAAGAAGATCTCGCTTCGGTTTACTGACTACGCTATCATTGTTGCTGCCGTCTTTTCGGTGGGGTATCTATCTATCTGCTGGCTAGGTAAGAACAAAAGAAGACTTCTTTTTTACCCCTGTTGTATATGAACGAACGAACGATCGATCGATCGACTAACTGGTGTGCATAGTGGCTGAACAAGGCGGCGTTGGCTTCCCGCTTGTACGAGTGGCTCCTCCGCAGCGTACACTTACACAAAAGGTAAATCCTATCCACTCCTTTGCATTTCTTGTCCGACATCAACGAACTTCATCTCCAGTCGCTCGTCATAGCATGGCTCCTGCAAGCGTGGGCCAATACCTTCGTGAGGTTGTCCATCCTCGACTTCATCGCGCAAGAAGGTCGCCTTGACTGTGGTATTCGGTCTTGGTATCTTGTAAGTACCTAACTAATACCATCTACTTGCATGATAGTATCTATAAGACTAACAACCTTCTCAGTGTCTGCTTTGCTACAGCATGGCGTACATACAACGTGGTCCACTTCTCCACCCCAGAAGCAAGATTAAATTTCACCATGACGGTCGTCGAAGATGCCCTATGGTCCGGACTCGAGATCAACCTCGGCATCATCAACACGTATCTCCCCGTCATGCCCGCGGCGCTGCAGCGAATCTTCAAGATTCCTTTTCTCAGGCTCATCTCCTTTTCAACATGGCGCCCCGCTAGCGGCTCCGAAGCCTCAGGCTTAAGGCCGACGTGGATGCGTCTCGGCAGCACCAAGGGCGACAAGAGCGGAAGCATCTCCTGCAAGGTCGAGTACTCGGTAGATATCGAGGCAAACCCCATGGGCCATATCCCGATGGGGAACATGGGCTCAACGACGAAGCTGGCCGAAAACCAGTGGCCGACGTATAACTACACTGCTACAAATCAGTATCATCCCAGCGGGAAGCCGCAAGGTCTCCCGGAGCAATATATTCAAAATCAATATCATGCTCAATAAAGGGGAACCTTGGAAATTTAGGTCTTGGGGACGGCGAACTGGTTAGGAGCGTGCATTTCAATCTTGCTTATCATAATTCATATTTATATCCTGTATATATAAGCTAGAACAGCAGAATAGCTCTCACATTGATGGTTTACGTCGATATCTGCATTTTATGAAATTTTACTTTATTTTCACAATCAAACTTCCTATAACGTCGCTGTGACGAATACAAGTTTATCAGAACTCTGGTAACCCCAAATCTTTTCTATTTCATCATAACTACTAGGTAAATGATTGCGCGAGTCACAAGAAAGGGAAATTTTATATTGTGCGTTTCTTTGATATTCATTTCCGTAACATCCATCACACGCGTGAGAGACTACAGGTTTTCCTTTATTCCTCATCATCCACCACATACATTTGAGTCTTAGTCTTGTCCAAAAACGTCCTCTCATCCTTGTCCAACCTTGCCTGGTTCTCCGGCTTCTCCGCAATCTCCTTCAACCTCAAGAATCCCGCCCTATCCTTGAACTCTAGGTAGCCGATGCCATCGTAGTGTGCTTCCGCAGGGCCCTGGACCTTTTCTGGGTAGCGGTGGACGTGGACGTCGGGGTAGGCGTCACCGGCGATCTCCTTAAGTAGATTGAGATGCTTGTTGTCCCAGTGGTCCTTGAATTCTTCGAGGGTGATGCCGGGAGCCTTGACGGCGAGCATGTATACGCGGAAGACCATTATGACGGTAGTTATATGTGTTTTTCTTTGGTTTTTTTAAGTTGCTAACGTTTCGATAGGATAATCAGTTGAAGTGAGTTGAGTATCCTTGAGACGGAGGGGCTTGTATGTGAGTGATGAGTGTCGCTAATAAGATGTGTACGGAAGTGTATTGTTACTTAAGCATAGCGGCGATACCGACTGCGCCGAATGAGACAAAGGATTAATTGGTATATCGACGCATAAGGTAAGTGAATCATATGAGACATTCATCATCGCTTAACGCGTCATACTAGAGTATCGAAAGGCCGTAGTAAACATCAAATCTGCCAATTTATTGCAATAGTACTACTTTACGCACATAACTACCTGTAACCAGTATGCTGTTAGCTACTTCTGCCGTCATTGCTCTGGTGGGTGTTTTGTTAGCGGCCTGGGTAAGGGAGAGGATAGCATCGAGAAGGCGGTTCGAGGGACTACCACGAGTTGGGATCGACCCAGGTTTATTCGGTCTGCAGCTTCAAGCTGCCAAGGACGAATTCTATGCCCGTGGACAACAGTTGCTAGAGGAAGGTTACGAGCAGGTTCGTTTAATACATCTCTCTAATATTATCTCTTAACCATTCCTTGCCAACCGGGAGAATCATATAGCACAAAGATACTCCGTACGTCATACAAACATGTGACAACGAGCGCCTCGTGGTTCCGGACAAGTTTATCGAGGAACTGAAGAACCTGCCGGAAAACCGGATCAGCTTCAAGGAAGAGCTCCTGGATCGCTTTATGGGGAAATACACCAAGCTCGATGCCGTCCGAAGAACAACTATCCATCGCGATATCGTGAGGCATCAATTAACTAAGAACATAGGTACTACCACTTCGTATGTTTTATAAAAAGGGAATGAAATATACTAATAAGGAATTTCTCAGGGAATTTGCTGCCTCAGATAAAAGAAGAAGCAGATCTAGCTCTGAAAAATGTTCTCAGCCAATGCAACTCAAAAGGTAGTTCTCACTCGACTAGTCACTCATCCATTCAAAACGCCGAGTGAAAATATCACCAATATTATCATCATACTAACTTCTTACTAGATTTCACTCCCGTCAAAGCGTCTTCTATAATCTTTGCTGCAATCGGCCAAATAACCTCCCGCAGGGTTATTGATGACCCCGCCATATCGCGAGACCCAGTATGGCTCGAGACTATCATGGGCTTCACTGCATCAGTAGCCATCTTCTCCATGACCATGAGGCGCATCTCGCCCACTCTGCGTCCCATAGCACAGTACACTCTGCAATGCGGCCGGAAACTTCGCGCCGATATTGCTCAAGTGACGAAACTCTTGGCCCCTGTGATTCAAGCTCGCCAGGAGCAAGTTAGTGGGGGGAAGAAGGGGGTCAAGTCTGATGATCAACCAAAAGATTTCGTACGCTGGCTGTCTGAGGCCGCTGAAGGCCAAGACGCCCGACCCGAAGCCATCGCCTTAAAAATTCTCTTCCTTATTGTCTCTTCGATGCACACAAGTGCCATCACCGCAATCCACATCCTCTACGATATTTGCGCTCATCCGGAGTTCATGGAGGAGCTACGTGCTGAGGCACTCGAGGAGACCGGTGCTAATGGCTGGACTGAAACTTCGCTGCTGAGGCTGCGCAAGATGGAGAGCTTTCTTAAGGAGAGCGGCCGTATTAATTCTGCCAATGTTGTCTCATTCCAGCGTCTCGTATTGGCACCGATCACCCTATCTAACGGTTTCACTATTCCGGCGGGCACGCATATCTGCGCCGCCTCCGATGCTCGCTCGCGCGACCCTGCGCTATATCAGGCACCTCTAGAGTTCCGACCGCTACGGTTCTACGCGCCGTCAACTAAAACCGGTACTAAAGTCGACACCTCAAATCTATTCAGCTCTGTTGCGGCCGGCGACTCGTGGTTTGGAGCGGGGCGACAGGCTTGTCCGGGACGGTGGTATGCGAGTGCGCAGATTAAACTTGTACTATGCTTGTTATTAATCGACTATGAATTCAAGTTTCCGGACGGGCAGAAGGAGAGGCCGAAGAACTGGGTTAAGGACGAGAAGACGGGGCCGGATATGGAGCAGATGATCTGGGTTAGACGGAGGACGACTGCTTGAGGCAGTAGAAATATCATAATAAATCATGCCCTCTACTCTAAAAATATGAATAATGGTATCACGTCCCTACTGTAAAACGGGCCTAATCGTAACCCCAAACGCCGTAGCAATTAAGCCTAATGAACCCCCGTAGACTACCCCTATGTCAAAGCCGCAATAGGGGTACCAAATTCCACATCCTCGATCCCGCCAGACAGACCCCCAACTCCAACATCCAAAAGTTTGCCTTCCAACTGTCCAAGTTTAAAAGATTCCGGGCTCTCACGGAAATATTTAAACCCAGCATCGATCCGCGCAACAAAGAGCCGCACCTCGTCTGACGAAAACAGCGATGTGTCGTACTCGACGCGGAGCGTCACCGACGACGAGCTGACGGCTGAGAATTCAAACATGATGCCAAACTTGGCGCCCTCGGCCCAATTCACCAACGGCTGGATCCCGGGAATAGTGGACGACGACGACGATTTTCCGGTAGTGTCGAGCTCGTGGAAAGTGACCATGGCGTCGAACAGCGGATTATTGGGGATTTCTGTAGCCGCAGCTGCTCGCAATTTCTCATCTTCTGAAGATGCGAGAATATCCATCAGAGAACTCCAATCGATGGCATGGCCGAGGGCAGAACGCGAGGATTCTTGCACGGCCCCAAGGAAAGTGGCCAAAGAGGCTTCCTTGAAATTACCCCCGTCTTGATGGTCCGACTGTCTCCGGATACGAATCGGGAGCGGTTGTAGGAATAGTCCAATGGTACGCATATCTTCTTCCTGTCGCCCGAGGTAAGGGCTGCCGAGAAGCAAGTCTTGCTTTGTCGGGTTATCGGTCTGAAGTATTATAGATACGACTGCTAGCGCGATTTGATGTAGTGTAAGACGTAGCGATCGCGAGACTGTCTGAAGGCTTGGCATTGTGTCTTCTGAGAGTCGGAATAATAGCGATTCACCGTGGTACGAGGTACGAGGCTTTCTCATGTATGGTGGCATTTCTGCAAAATCGATGCCGGATAGGTACGACTTCCAGAAATCTGCTGTGGCTTTATCGACGTTGAGATTCCAACAGGTCGTGTCCTGGTATCGTTTCGGAGAGACTAGGGCTGATTCATTATTATCAACGTTGAAATATACCTCCGTAAGTTCCTCAAATAGGCGGTCGAGAGTTGTATAGTCGCATATGATATGGCTTACGCAAACCAGCATGTGGCGTTTCGAGACCAGTACTCGGATGGGGTCTTCCGTCTCAAGTAAGAATTCCTTGTTGATCGCAGCTCGAATATCGAAATCTTGGACGTATATAGCTTTGGGAGGCTCGGCCGCATATGACCTTTCCACACTACCGTCTGCTGATTGACGAAATCTGCAGCGTAAAATCTCATGCCTCGCAAGGACCACATTCCAAGCTGACACCAATGCCTGATGTCGGTCAAAGGACGCGTCCAACTCTGAGACATGGGATACGTTGAACGAAGATGTCCCAAGATTTCGCTGGTATTTCAAAAACCAATCTCGTTCGATAGGCGATACCCCGTTTTCTCCAAGAGCCTTTTCTTTTATACTGTCAGAAGCGAGACTCGATGATTGCCCTTGTCCTGAAATGACAACATCGACCACACTCTCTTCCCTTCGTGTATCATCAATAGCAGATGCCAGGCGTGATACTACAAGATTCTCGATGACTTTTCGTACCGGAAAGTGCCGCTGAATGAGTGATGATATTCGACTCGCTAATTGTAGCTGCAGGATAGAATGGCAGCCAAGCTCCGTGAGATTCGAGCCTTGACCTACAGGTACGCTCGGGTCGAGCTTCATCAAGTCGCGAATGGTACCCGCGACCATAATCTCAGTCGCGCTCATAGTACTCTTCTGCGGCTGGGGTTCCATCTTAGTATCTGCAAGACTCGCGCTGATGGATTTCTCAATCGTCTTGTAATCGAGCTTGCCCGCCGCGGTAAGAGGGAACTCGTCAAATGCGACGATCCTCCGGGGCATAGCATAAGGGGGTAATGCATTACTGACAAGCGCCATTACATCTAATGCGCTGAATGTATTAGGTGAAGTAGTTTGGTACGCTGCTATGAGATGATTGTCACGACGGAATATAGCAGCACTGCCACATCCAGGAATGGCCTTTACGACTCGCGCTTCCAGGTCATTGAGATCTAGCCTGAATCCATTCAGCTTTATCTGCCGGTCTTTCCGTCCGAGGATGCAGATCTCCCCAGTAGCGCTATTCCAATAAGCATAATCGCCAGTTCTATACATCTTCTGACCGGTCTCGGGCATGATCGAGTCCTCTAGGAAGCGACTCGCATTCTCCTCCGGAAGCTTGATATATCCACGCGATACTTGTATCCCCGCAATATACAACTCGCCGACTGCACCGGGCGGGAGTAGACTGAGACTACGATCGAGGATGTACACTCTGCTCGACGGGTTCGGCCGACCAAGGGAGACGGCTTCGTTCGGGAACAGTTGTTTGATTGTTGCGCCACAAGTCGCTTCGGTCGGTCCGTACATGTTGTACAGCGAGCGGTTCTTAGTCCACGTCTCACAAAGAGACTGGGGAACGGCTTCACCGACGAGGTAGACCTAGATAAATATTAGCTTTCTCTTTAGTTAAAGGCACAGGCACACTGTATCTACATACATTTCTCAGCCGAGGATACTGGTTTGGATCAAGTGCCTTGGCGATAGAGGGAGTCAAGATGGCGGCATCGCTATCCCGTAGGTGCGAAAAAGGGTCTCCCTGATGATCAGGCGACGCCAATCGCAATGTGGCGCCATGTGTCAACGCAGAAAATATTTCATGTATGCTGCCGTCAAAAACGGGAGACATTATCTGAGCAACCACAACACCTTTCGAAGCACCTAGACGAACAACTCGGTCCTTTTGAAAAGCCACCAGGCCCTTATGAGTACATTGTACGGCTTTGGGCTGGCCGGTCGATCCGGACGTGAAGCAGATATAGGCGAGATCATCCGGGCGGGCAATACGCCTCCTTGGATAATAATAATACGCCGAGAACCCATTGCGCGCCTGGGCGCTGTCTGCTGCGAGCAGGTCGTCAACGCCCAATAGTAGACATTGGAACGGAGCTGCATCATCATCATCTTCCTGTCGCGATGAAACGACGCGCTGAGATGTAGCTCGTGAAGGAACAAGCACGGCACGCGCCCCGCTCCGAATGAAATTCGCCTGCTGCATGGACACTGGCGCTGAGGGATCCAACGGGGCGTACACTCCGCCTGCCTTTAGCACGCCGAAGATGGCGACGAGCCAGTTTACCGATCGGTCGGCGTAGACGCAGACGGCCTCATTGGGTTCAATCCAGCTTAATTTCCGCGCTACGATGGCAGCCGCTTGGTCTAAGTCGTCGTAAGATACCTCGAGTTCACCGTGAATAACCGCCGGGTCGTTCCGTTGTCTCTCTACGACGTTTTCGAAGAGCGTTACTAGATCGTCCCCCTTGGATGAATCCAATGTCTCCAAGGAGGCGCAGTTACTCCAGTCTCTGATCATCTTCTCCATATCCTGTGGTAATAGAGCACTATTCACGCTCGATACTAATCGACTTGTATCATCGTTTCCTTGCAGAAGACAGTTCATGCTGTTTTTGAACACAGCTTGTAGATTGTTCATGTCCTCGTCTGCAAAGTGAGCAGTAGAGTACAGCATTTGCAATCGACAGTCTTCTTCAATAACGATGTTCAGAGGAATTCCGGTCCGCATATCGGGTCGGTTTCGATCTACCGGCATTGTGCTTGGGACCTCCTCTTCGTGGCATTCGAACTGCGTAGCCATGATGGAGTGGAACTTCCTGTCGAATCCCTCCTTAGTGTCCGAATGTTGGATATTGTTCAAGTCAAGAATGTCACCATGTATTTGCCGTAGGAAGGTTTCGACAGAGGTCTCGTCGCCTTTGGCTGGTACCTGTACAAACAGGGGCAGGATATTAATCAGAGGACCAACGACGTCAAAAGCTCCTGGAACCGGCAAGTCGCGCCCTGAGAAGACCACTCCGAAGCAGATCTGGTCCGCATCCACGAATTTGCCAAGTGTCAGAGCCCACGCTGCGGCGAAGAACACCGTCGTGGTATATCCCGTCCGCGTTACGGCTTCTGCTAGCTGTTCGCTGGGAAATTGAACTGTAACAGATTTCTGAGGGGGGACCTCTGCGGTCTTGGCTATGCTTTGCGGACTCAAGCGTAACTCGCCAGCTGCGGCGGGAAACTGCTCGCGTTTTTTATCCCAGAAGCGCCTTGTGGATTCACTTCTCTCTTCTCGTAAGACTCGCAGCGAATGTACCATCTCCCTAAATGATGGGCCTGCAGGGACGCCGAACTCCCCTCCTTTCAAGGTGCGAGTAATTTTATCGCGCAGAATTCGAGCAGAGTAGCCATCCATAAACGCATGGTGTATGCGCCAGATGACAGCAGTAGAATTCGCCGTTTCCCCCGATGCCGATGCCGAAGGCGAAGGGGATTGTACGACTGTGAGTTTGGATATAGGGCCGGTAGCGTGAACAGCATGACGAATCTCTCTCTGGAAATCGTCCTCGCTCTCAACCTGAATTATCTCTCGGAGTAAAAGTTGCTGCGGTAAAACATCTAAGTCGCGAAGGAGGTCCTTGAATATCGGCTCCGCTAGGATCGTATTCGACCAGGCGTCGCAGACGTCTTGAGCATTCCATTCGCCTGTATAGGATTCGTATATTGTCAATATGTTTAACTTGTGATTTTGAGAGGTTTCCCGAAGAAGAAGCAGCTGCGGTTCCGTCCATTCGGTAGTGTCGATTTTACTCAGGAGGCTTTCTGCTGTGATAGCCTCCTTTCCACAACTAAATAGAGACAAGTCTTCTGTCTCCGTCTCCGGGTCCGGTGCCGTGATCGCGGTATATATAGATGATGCCCCATCGCCGCTAATATCATCGTTGACATCGTCGCTGGTATCCCCCGTTACCATAATTGTAGGTATAGGTCTTGATATACGCTGAGCCAAGCTCGTAGCTGTTGTTATGACCTCTTTCACGGTTGATATCCGCAAGAATACGCCCGCCGGTATCAAAATTCCTTTTCTTTGGCATTCTGCAGAAATGAGGATTGCGGATAGTGAGTTGCCTCCAAGCTTGATGAAGGTAATGGTATCTGCGGTGTAATGGATCTCATCCACACTCACGCCAAGTACCGTCGAGGTCGCTTGGATTATAATCGAGGCGAACTCGTTGTTTCGGTCGTCGTTTTGGTCGACATCATTCCTGCCGTCGTTTGCATTTAATATCGCCGTCTCGTGGACGCCGACGCCACTCAATGGCATTGTTTTTCCAATCATATTTTACTTACGTTCTCCCTTAGGTACCTATATACGAAGGATGAAGGTATATCCAAAAATATGGCATCATTTAATAAGCTGCTGAGCCTCTTAGCCCGGTCAAGTAAAACCTACCTACCTAGGTAAGCATTCGATCGGTCGCCGACGTCAAATCCAAGTCGGCGCGTTCTACCAGGGTCCATAACCCCCGAAGTTCTAAAAATGGAAAATTACCAACATTGACAATTGAACTGTCTAATAATACTTAAAGTAGGTACTTTGTACCATTGTTTGAGTATCTGCTTTGTGAGGCTCTCACAAAGACGAGTATACCTCTTAGTGACTGTTCGGCTCATCAGAAGCTTCTTACTGATGAAGATGTATGTTAAGTTGTAAGACATATGCAAGTCAGGAACCGAAACTCACTGAGCATCGCTTGTCCAACTAAGACGACGTAATGGCAACCCCGAATGTTGCAATTATCGGAGGTAAGAGAGGGTTATTTCTTTTTTTTTTTTTGTCTTGTTCTTTTTCTTTTTTTCCTACCTATTCACAAGTATCATTCGTCAATCACTTTTCTAATTCATGAGGATAGCTGGCCCGGCCGGTCTCACATTAGCGAAGCTGTTGCAAAGTGCATCTATCAAATGTAACGTATTTGAAAGAGATGTCGACCGGCATGCGAAGAATCGCGGCGGCTGCTTGGACCTCCACGCGGACTCCGGGCAACTAGCCTTGAAAGAGGCTGGCTTACTCGAAGAGTTCAAGAAGCTGGCCAGACCGGAGGGTGAGACTCTACGGATATTCTCGTCTGACGGTACGGTGCTCATGGATGAGAGTAGAGGCGAACCCGGTCGTCCTGGAGAGTTCGCCGACCGCCCTGAGATTGACCGTACGCAGTTGCGCGACTTGATTCTGGATTCGCTCGTGCCCGGGACTGTACATTTTGACTCCAAACTTGTCAAAATACGCAACCAGGAGAATTCCAAGTTGACCTTAGTTTTCGAAAATCGGGAAGAAACCGACTTCGACCTCGTCGTCGGGGCTGACGGGGCTTGGTCTAAGGTCCGACCGAGCATCAGCGATACCGAGCCTTTCTACTCAGGCATCGCAGGTCTGGACTGTCGTATTCCAGACGTAGACGCCAAGCACCCGAAGCTATCCGCGCACGTGGGACAAGGAATGTGTCTTAATTTGGGTTCGAACAAGGGGCTCATGTGCCAACGTAACGGCGACGGCACAGTTCAGCTCTACGCCTTCGCCCGCCTACCAGTCGACTGGTTCTCGGCGTCCGGGATCGACCCCACCCATCCAGATGCGCGGAAACAGGTTGTCGATGCACTTTATCCAGAATATTCCGACCTACAGAAGGCGCTAGTACTAGACAGCGATCCGGACACCGTAGGACGGCAACTCTATATGCTTCCCGTTGGCTTCCAGTGGTCACACAATCCAAGGTTAGGGGGACTATTTCTTCACCACATCTTACACATCTTACGTTAGGTATGAAACATAATATCAACTAACCCATCTCATCCCAGGATCACACTTATTGGAGACGCAGCACATCTAATGAACCCGTTCGCGGGAGTTGGTGTCAACGTAGCCATGAAAGACTCATTGGAACTTGCACATGCCATAATCGGGAAGGGTACTGAACAAGATTCGTCGCCATTAAGCGAGCGCCTTGCCAAGTTCGAGATTGACATGTGGGCGCGCGCAAAGAAGAATGCAGAAGCTACGGTAATGTATCAGGACCTATTCTTCCACGAACGCGGTGGCATCGCCATGGTGGAGCACTTTGCGAAGCGACGGGAAGAAGAACAAAGGTCACAATCGAAGGAACCAAAGAGTAACTAAGTGTAAATGTCATAGATTTAAAATAGATGTAAATTGTATATATATTTCATTAGAGAAATTCATATCGTCTGTATAAGACAATCAATCTTTTCTTTTTTTTTCTTTTTTCTTTCCTCTTTTCTTTCTTTCCATTTCCAACTGTGAATACCGACCGAACCGATGGACGAGGCCGAGCCAAGACTAAAAGCTACCGATCAGTAACTCCGAAGGACCGCAAGGATGATAAACACACTAATACTATTACGTTAACGCCCATAAGCATAGCATAGTCTCATTGCCATAATTCGAATACAGTTAAACTTATTTATAGTAAATTTATAATATAATAAATCTTTATTTTAACGAATTTTTTTTAAAAATTTTTAAAATTTATATGTAAAATAATAAATTTTTTTATATAATAAATTTATTAAATTTTTTAATTTATTATTACGTAATTTATTATATAAAATAAAAAAAATTTATAAAATTATAAAAAAAATGGTATATTTTATAGTTTTTACCGATTAAATTAATTTTATTTAAAAAAAATAAAGTTTAAAATTTATACGATTTTTATAAATTTTAATATTTTAATTAAATTTTAATTATAATATATTTAATTTTTAACTTTTAATTATTAAAATATTAATTTTTAAAATTATAATATTAATATATTATTTAATTATATATTTTATAATTATAATTTAATTAATTTATTAAATAAATTAATAAATAATAAATTTTTTAATTTTTATAATAATATTAATAAATATATAATAACGTTTTATTATTAACGAAAAATAATATAAAATAATTTATAAAATTAAAATATAATATTTTAAATAAAAATAATAAAAATATTATATTTAAATTAAACGCGAATATTATTGTTATTTTTTATTATTTATTATTTATAAAATTTTTTTAATTAAATACGTTTATTTAAATTATTTTTATTTTAAAAATAAAAAAAATATTAAATAAATTATTAAATTAAATTTTTTAAATTTTAAAAATATTTTTTTTAAATAATAATAATAATTATAAATTTAATAAATTATAATTATTAACGATATATTTAAAATTATTATTTATAAATTATTTAATTAATTTTTAATTATTATTTTTTATATAAATTGTATAAATTTTTATTAATTAAATAATTAATTAATTATTTTTAAAAAACGGTATAATATATAA